TCCCTTTGAGTTGCATCACAGACAGATGAGGATCGGGGCTGCTTGGTTACTCAATGAAAAATGAGGCTCCTCAATGGATTTGTCTCAATTGCGATCGAGGCGCTGACACAAATCAATCAGACAGAGTCAAAGTCAGAGTCACAGTCAAGTTAACAGGTAGGTAGAAGTCTGGCTTGGATTCGTGGACTCAAAGATCTTGATCGCCTGTCATGGCTAATGATGGGCCTGGCGACGCGTCGAGGGCGTCCTGCGGTGGCTGAAATCCGCTTTTGAAAAGGGTTTCTTCGGGGTTTCTCAAATCGATTTCCACTCTGACCGTGGGCATAATTGACTTTCGCACCTGTTTTCTGAACCTCTGGAAACCCTTTCAACCGCAGAGAGTTTTGGTTGTGTGGGGCTATTGGGGAGGCAAAGTGCGGTGGCACGTGCTACCAGTTTTGTGGCTAAAGTCTGGGTTGGGGGGCTGGCCAGAACAATGCCCCACACAGCTGCCGCCTGGCACTCCTAAACGGTCTTTGACCATTCAGCTTACGCGTGCCAGTTGCCATAAACTCGGAAGGTTAGAGTCCAGAAAATTGAAATGCATCGCTGTGAAGGGAAGTAAGTCCAGAAACCAGATTAACATGTCCGATTGCCACATCCGAGGTCTTTTGTACTTGCTCCGATTCCGGTCGCTGATATCTCCTCTCGTTCTTTCAACTTCAAGTCCACTCGGAAGACGGAAACTAGAACTTCATGGCGATTCAAGTGCCACGATAACTGTAAGTAGTGGTAGTATTTCCCTCAGGGGGAAAGGGCGAAAAGGGGCTCTCACGGAATTGGGTTTACGACTGCTTTTTGTCTCGGCCCCTCAACCGGCGATAATAATCATAAAATTATTTTATTGCAAAAGGTAAAGTTCCAGCGTCACTTTTGGCATTTAACTAATAAGTGAGTTAGTAGGGGAAGCTGTCGAGGTTATGAATAATGAATGGGACATCATCTCAAAGGAGTCGGATGTGAGGGAGTACAAGGATTCCTGGTCAAGGGTTTTATGACCTTGTTTCCCTCTTTGACTTTAACTTCGCTTAAAATATTCAATTCTATAAAGCTTAGATAATCATTTAACTGACAGATGATGGATCATAGTCACTCCTAATTGGATTCCCCATTGCCAGGACATCATTATCCTAACCCAACACCCCGAGAAGCTAAAGCAACCCCCTTTGGACAGACAAAACACCAAGAGATTTATAAGCATGTTGTTACCTGCTTCGCCCATAACAATGTGTCTAAATTAAATCCTTTAAGATCAAATAACCAAAAGGCAGGAAACCATTTCGCATGTGGAAACATTTCGGCGCGTATTTCATTTAAATTACCCCAAAAATGTATCCCCGAAAACCGAGACGAGCCGTCGTCGTCGCATATATTCAGATGGCAAACGGGGAACGGACGCTGAAAGGGTTCCCCCGGGAGTTTGGCACGCGGAATTGCGCCTTGGAGTCGCATAAGGACGAGGAGCAACCCGGAACTATGCACATGGGAGCCACCAAAAAAAGAAAAAAAGAAGGAAGAAAGCGTGAAAAGAACCCAAGGAGCTATGTGGGTTGCCGGCGATACACGAACATTCCGTTGCTTTTATTTTTGCATCGTAAAAGCGAAATGAAAACGTCTTTCGCGGAAAGTTTGCTCCTCTTTTCCAGAGCGCCAGCCCAACACCTCGCGGGATGGCTCCAAAAAACTTGGCGAAAGGCGAGCGGCGGCGGCGTGAACCACCAAAGGCACATAAATCATCCGCCAGAACCAAGGAAAAGGTGGCAACTTGGGCGTGTCATAACTTTGCAGTCAGAAGCAGAGTCAGATCTAGAGCCCAGTTGGCCATGGCCCGTGGGATCAAAAACAATGAGGACGAGGATGAGGAGCTAGTGAAAAGTTGGCGAAAAAAATTGCCAAGAGTCGCGGCCAGTGCGCCTATGGTGGCTACCTTTAGTATATCCCATTGCTGTGGGGAATGTCCTGCAACTGACACTGCAGTCCAAGCTGCAGGACGAACTTTTTTCGCCTTGTTTCCGCTTGTTTAGCTGCGGTGTCAGAGCAGTTTTACACCTGAGATTGCGATTACTTTGTCCAGACAGCCAGGCACAAGTTGGTTTAAAGTTTTTGATATCCCTTATACCCTAAGGTGAGTGGGGTGCCTTCAGGGTTCTGTTGAAGGGTTTGTGGGTTATGGGAAAGGATTTGGTGCTATGGACATCGCAGAGCACTAAATTGAGTATGATTATAAAAGATTTTTTAAGGGGTAACTTTTAGCTTATGTTCTAAGGCAATTTAATATTATATGTTACTGAAATACTAAATATTTTTATATGTTCATTTATTGTGCTGTTACAATAAATAAATTATCAATAAAATATTTTTAAAACATAACAAATTGTTATATTTAATACTCTCCTTAATTCTTACTTATTATAAAAGTATTCAAATCTAATATACATAGTTGTATAGACATTAAATCCAGAAAAAGGCCCTTTGAACCCTTTGAATGATCTACTTAAATGTATGATAAATCTGTTAAACGTACTTAAAAGTTTCTCACAAAACCATTTACCAAATACTGCCATTGAAGAGTATTAGAAATGTGACCGCCCCTTTTCTTAACCAAAAGACTCCACCCCCTTCGAAGAGCCGCGAAAAGCGGTGAAAACTTTCTAATGACTTGTCGCCGTAGGGTAAATGTTCGTGGGGTAAGAAAACTTTAGTTTGGGGACATTTTGCGGGTCTGGCTGTAATTAAAAGGCATTAGATTTGTACTTAGGATAGCCCGCTGACCCAGTTACTACGCCGCTGGATCATCGCCATGATCCGTAGAGATCTCTACGTGATGGATCCATGGATGACATCTTTAGGCCCTTTTTTCGGAGTTTTTGTCTGAGAGAAAGAGAGCCACACACAGAGTTCAGCGGGCGGCGGTTCATTAACCGACAATGTCAACCAGTTTTCCCCAAAGCACAGATTTCTATCTCCGTGTGCGGTGCGTAAAGCAATTTGCGCTGATGATGAGAAGACGACGACGGCGATGGCGATGGCGATGGCTTCTTGGGAAAGCAACGGGTTCGAGTGAGTGCTGTGAGAATTGGCCACTTTAAGCAATCCCCAAGACGCGACCCGAACGAAACGGCCTGGCCCAAGCTCCAAAAACCTTTGACCAGAGCAATTATTTATGGTCTCGAGACACGAGAAGCCGGCAAGCAAAGCAGGAAGGAAGTAGAGTTAACTCCGTGTTTGTCTTGTAAGACAAATGTGTAATTAATTGCCATGCATCAAAAGGAAGCTCTAAAACTATTTGCATACGAGCATGCTAAATTGTCTTCTTCGCTGTCACTTCGTGGACGGCTACACGTGCAATTAATAAATCAAAAGGGACAGCAGCCTAAGTCCTTTCCTCTACCCCATCAAACGGAAGTCTCAGCCAAGACAAAGCAAATAAATGAAGTGACTGGAACCGAAACCAAACTTTTAGCCAACTTGAGATTGCCCTTTTTTTCTTCGAACCCAAAGAAGTGAGAGTTTCACTGCAACTAATTGCATTTCATTGCATACATTTGGGCTGCTCGGGAATAAGGATAAGGATCCTGGCAAAATCACATCGCACACACAACGTAAAACGTTTCAAAATTGTGCTCAAATGGCCAGAGAGATTTCCTTGGAGCTGTCCAAAATGGTTTGAGGTGGAAGAAGAAGGCCTCAACCTCAAGTGCCTCAGGTCGTTATGGGGAAAGAGGGAAATGGCAAGGATGCCAGGAAGGATGCGCTGGGCAAGTGTTGAGTGCTAACTATAAAGGCACTGGGAGAAAAGGCGTTTAAGAGTTTGGAATTCATTATGTAATTTTAGTTAAGTTTAAAGAAGTCGTTGTCTTTAGAAAAATACTAATAATGTTATTTACTTATTATATTTATATTAAAAATATCCAAATCGAATATCAAGATAGATTTTCTGTCATTTTATTATAAATAAAATCATGTATAGAGTCTAAAAAATATTTTTTCAAGTCTTAAACTCTCCAGATAGCTTAGATTTAGTTTGATTTTTAAACATTCCACCTAAAGTTCTGCCTAAAATGAAGTCCTAAGTTATGTCTACAATCCTAGTACCCTCGCTAGTTTTCTCTCAGTGTATTCAAAAGGAAAACCCAGACAACTCAGCGCAGTCGAGACCGAGTCGGGAGGGAGGCAAGTAGTCAAGTCAAGTGAAGTCTGAGTTGTGTGCATGAATGAATGAATGAAAGGGGGCGGAATGAAATGGGCAGCCCACGGGCAGGGCAGGAAGTTGCCTTGCTGCCGGCAAGGACGTTGCTTGGGCCAAAAACAAAAAGGACACACACACAGAGGCAAGGAAGTTGTGAAAAAATAGCAGTCATGGCGGGCAGACGTCGCCACAAAACGAAACAAATAACACAGAAAAAGCATTCGAAATGGCACTAGAGAGAAATGTGGCCAAGGAAGATGGTGGCCAGGATCTGTGGGTGTAGAAGGAGGTCATGTCGTGGCCGTAGCTCATGATGCTGCCTGGCATTTCTCTGTCTGTCTCGCCGCCAGTCGCTTCGACAGCTCGTAAATGGCAACGAGGATGTGTGAACGGGGTGAGTAGGGAGGAGAGGAGAGGAGAGAAGAAAAGAGGAGTCGGTTCGGGTCCTGGTCTTAGTCCTGCCATTGCTACTGGTCCCAACTTGACTCCGAATGCTGCCCGGACTTCTGCTTGGTGTTGATTGCTGTTTGGGGTTTTTAAAACGTAGTTAGGCTGCCCCGGCAGCCACAGGACCGCAGCATATGGAAACGACACCCGCGGCACAGGTGTAGAGCACCCTGGAGTGCCATCTCCGGCAGCCAGGATAACACCCCCAACGGCAATTCCAATGGTTATGGCACCAGCACGCATGCTGCCTGTATTTTCGAGGATGGGGACTAGAAAGGTGGCAGGTACATACATATATGTATCTGTGACAGGGGCGCTCACTCACCTGAATAGAAGCTGTCCAGGCTCTGCAGCTCCTCATCATCGTAGTCCTCGTCGTCTCCGCTGAGACTGAGCAGGTCCTCTTCCAGCTCTAGGTCCTCGGTCTCTGGATCCGCATCTGGGTCCGCCTCCTCTTCGTCTCCGCCTGTAGAAGGAGAAAGAGGAAAAGCTTATTTTAGTCAGGATTGCTGCAAGCGGGGCAAATGCAGCTGGGACTTGACCTCGACGTCTTGGATGGAATGGCTTGGCCGGGGCAGGATGCCCTTTCTGGATCCCCAAGTGCAAGGAATTTTGATTATGCTAAGCCCCAGGGTGCCATAATTCCATACCCCAGCAAGTAAGCCCCCCGAGCTACTCCCTTTCCTTTCTCTCGCTTCCCTTACCACCAAAATCTCTAGCTTAAGAGTAGCAAAGAGCAGATTGTTGCAGTGCGCATGTCCTGCCAAAGAGCGTTGAAGAGAGATTATAGAGAGAGAAAGCCTTTAAAGAGAGTCCCTTGTTTTGATCTCTCACTGCGAGGGAACAGCTGTTGCCAGCACGTGCTGTGAATGCTCGGCAGCAGGGGGTTAATTGGGGCGCCACGGGGGGGTCTAAGTTTGTCTACAGAACTTGGCGTTACTCATACGCAACGTTTGACGTGCCTCTCGGTGGGTCGGTTGGGCGCCAAAATGTCTCACGTGAACGGTCTTGTCTGACTTGAGTTTTGGCAAGTAAACCAAGAAGCGGCTCCTCAGGGATATGCTAATGGGGTTGGGTTACCTGAAGGACAGTGGGAATAGAAGCTACCTTTTGGTATATACATATGTACATGTGTGTGTGTTATGAAAAGGGTAAAGCAAGTGTCCAGGAATTAATTGGAAATGAATTTAAGGCGGTGTATTGGGGGGGGAAAGATATTTGATATTTGCTAAGATAACTTGAGATAGGAGTAGTATGGGTCCCTTGAGAGTTAAAAATCAGAAATTGTAAGAAATCGAAAAATACATTTTATTTCTAAAGTATTTATTGATTGTTGAAGACTTTTTGGAGTGTATTTAGGATAAGACTGAAGTCAGGAATAGTATTGTTACAAACTATAAAGAAAATTATAGAAAACACCCAAGAAAATATTTCTCATCAATAGTAGATCCTTAATCCTTTTCGAGTCCTCCCCCTGAAGAAGTTACATCCTTTTCGAACTCAGATTTACATTGAACCCCTTTATCTCACTCACTTTTCAGAGCATTTTCAACCATCGTAAAACCCCAAAAGATGAGAAAACCTTCGACATGAACTCATCAACTCATCAACTCAGCCATCAGGCTTTCACTCCGCTTTGCGCTTTTGCTACTTTCGCGTTTTTGGCTTTTACTAGTTTCTAATGACAAAATGAAATTTCGCGGCCAAATGCCATCCAGAAAAAAAGAGGAGAGAGAGAGAGAGAGAGTGGGTGGGTTGAGGTCCTGCAACATTCTAAGCGCTTGAGAATTTCCTTGATGGCTCGTCGTTTCGGCGACGTTTCGATGATGTGGTTCTGTGGCTGTGTGTGTGTGTGTGTGTGGATCTGCTTTTATGCCACTTTGCATGCCAGCACATAAAGCATACACAGAGTCTAGCTGTATCTGTGTGTGTGTGTGGCAGGATCTAAGCTAACAGTGAAGCTGGGCTGGACCGCCACACGTCCAATAATCCTTGTCCTGCAGCTGGGGAATACTTCATCAGCGGAAACAAATTTTACGAATTTCTCTCTGCGACTGTGTGCGAGTCGGTTTTTGGGGATACTGCTAGTGCTAGTGTATATGTGTGTGTGTGTGTGTGTGTGTGTGAGTGAGTTGCACGTGCTGGCTGGCTCCATCTGGTGGACGGACCCTGGACCCAACGACAGCACGGGACAAGTTTTTAACATGCCAAAAACGCATCTCGCGCCTGGATGAATCCTCTTCGGCAACCTATCCATCGTACACTGAGAGATATTTTGACTTAAAAGTCCAAATAGAATAAAGATTAAAATTCGGGAATATTTAATTACCAAAAAAAATATAGAAAACCACTATAGAAGGTTGTGATTTTAACACCTCAAGAACATGACTCTCTTGTCTCATTTTCCCCGTTAACCTTTTTTCTCTCTCTGTGTTGGCGTCTCTCTGATGATGCTTGATGATTATTCAACATTCGCTCTATGGGGAGTCATGTGCCACGCCCCCGCCTTTTCGCCTGCACATCGCTCATCTCACATCTCCGGTCGCTGTTCGCTCTGCTTTTCCGTATGCGACTTCGTATGACGCAAAATTGGCTTCCGTCGAATTGTTGCTTTGAGTTTTGCAAATTTTTCGACACTACCCCCCATTGGATGGAGAGAGGGGATAGGGGGGTAAAGCATGGCTGCAGGGAATCAGATGTCAGAGAGAAAGTACTGGCCACAAAGTAGTTTCAAATCAAGGATAATTCAAAGCCAAAAGGTGAAAAGATAGCATAAGGTAAAGAAAAGGTTCAACACAGGAAAAGGATGAAGGATAAATAAATAACTAAATAGTTTCATCAACAAATCCCAAATAATACATGTTTTTGACTTTGAAAAATGAAAAGAAGTCATATATATCGCAGACTCTGTTTAACATTTCTAAAAGTATAAGTAAAGTTTCTTGTGAGGTCTATATAAAGATCTTTTTCATTTTATCATTTGCTTAAATTCAAAATTCACCTAGAATTATTAAGATTAAGATTATGATAAATCTTAGAAAAAACTTCTCCCAGTAATTTCTTTTTTAAAACCTGAAAATGTCTTTTAAAGGAAAATAGTCTTGGAATATCTTTTGTCTGTATTATTAATATACTTCAAAAAGGATATTACTATCCAAAAAAAAAAGGACAAACCGTCAGCACTGGATCATAGAGAGAGGCGACCGGAGGATGCATTCATCATCATCATCAGGCATCGACTGGTGCCGCCTGGCTAATTTTATGACTCTCTCGCATCTTTCGCGAATCATGTTAATGAACCAGCTATCCGTGTGAGTAGTTCGGTATATGAGTATGTGCGTGGGGTATCTCTCTAGATGTGTGTGTGTGTGTCGACCATAAATCGAACGAAATTTGCATATCCAACATAGCGCCATCTTGCGGCCATTTTTACGACTTTCGGGGCTTTGTGGTGCAGATGCTGATTATTGTGAAGTTGTATCGTTCGGCCACACCCACTGCCGCCCACACACACACCCACATGCACATGCACTGTGGTACTTTTGGGAACGCTGCAGGCCGCTGCAACTGCAACGCTGCACTCGCTCAGATTTCCCAGAGCGCTGCCGCCTACGAGGATAACTACAACAACACCAACAACTACAGCAGCGAAATGAGCGGACAAAGTCCAGAAGAGTCCTTTTTCAACAATAACAACAACAACAATATCAGCATAGGGACAGCGGCGTAGTCGGGTTTATATTCACCCAGGGGAAAAGGGGGCATATAATTATGTTTATACCATATTATGATATGTAATATGGGTGGTATATCGAATCACAAAACGAAGCTCGTTGGTAATAATTAAAAATATATATAATTTCTTGCTAATCTTATCGTTATTAAAACTTTACTTTAAATTTAGAATTTTAAAATGCTAAAAACCTTGCTCCAAGGATTTTGATAAAGGATCTATAAATCTATAGGTATAGAAGGTAGACAAAAGTATCATGAATTTATTAAGATTAAGTATTTAATAATCTCTAACTACTCTAAACTACGAAATTGTTGATTTTGGTAAACATAAAGAGAACATTAGGTGTATCTTTATATTTTAGCTATGTTAAATCTACTTTGAAATTACATTTTTGATTATCAAATCGTAACTTTGTTATGTCTATTAAGAAATGTACCCCTTCAGAAATATTTCATTCCATTTTTGCAAAGTTTAGTCCAGCTTATAGACCCCACAAATAAATTTCTGACCCATGGTTAAGCCCCATAGCATTGTTAGACTCGTGGTTATCGTTATGATGAACCCCTTAGGCGGACTCTCGCCACCTCTGTCAACATCAACAACAACAACAGCAAAAATAACAACAGCGCCAACAGACAAAGAATGGGACAAAGGGGAAAAGAGTACACAGGGAGTGGGTGATGGCTAGGGAGCAGGATGAGTAGGAGGAGGAGTTGGCGGAGGAGTCAGAGTCAGAAGGAGCTGGGAGTCCAACTCGGACTGCGACAATCCCGCGGGAATAAGACTGAAGCGGGCGCTCCGCTCCGCTGTGTGCTCCATGGCGAGGTGGGACCACCTACCGTGTGGTGGCTCTTAATTCGATTCGTTTGCTCCAACCACCACCACCACCACCTCCCGGCCCACCAGTCCTATGGTCCTACAATCCACCTCCATCCCTTTCCCTACGCTTTGCTCCTTTGCCTTGGCTTCGTTGCCATCGTCGTCGTCGCCGTGTCCTTGGGGAATTGTTGCGCAAATGCTTTTTGTGTGTTTCTGTTTGAAAATTATTGCAAAAAAGGCGAAATAATAAAGGCAGCCGTCGACGTGCATGTAATCGAACAGAACGAATGGTGGTGCGGTAAGGAGGGGGTGGAGGAGTACCTACGGGAAAGTGGGACTCGGATATGTCTCTGATGCAATTATGAAGTGATAAATGAATTATGTATGCACGGGGAATTGCCCCGAATTGGTCATGGTCATCGTCATCAACGTGTCGGTGTGGTTGCAATTTGTAAATTTATCGATCGACCACAGTAATCGATAAAAAGAGTACAGTGCTCCCTAGAATGAGCTTCATAATCCAAAAAAACCACGGCAACCAAATGAAGTTTTGTCATCAAATTTAAGACACACACACACACACCACAACTCGTTTGTATCCTGGTTCTTCTCTTAGCGAATCTCCCGCGAGTCTGTCAAGATGTTTGCAAGTGCACTGAGAGGAAATGTGTGTAGGACAATGTGAAAATAAATATAAAATACAAAAAATGACATTTTAACTATTAAACACATTGAATATAATTTAAATTCTTATGTATATTCTTAACGACAGAATATTTTATTATTACCTATTGTTGAAAAATTAATGCTGCCTACTTTTATGCTCAGACTTAAAAGGACCTACAAATGAAAGTAACATGAACTTGTTTACTGTTAATTTCCCACATATTTTCGCCTTGTGTCTTTTGTTTACTGTGCACCTGATAATTTTATAGCCACCTTTCATCTCCGTGTGTGTGTGTGTGTGTGTGGGAATAACGGTAAAAAAGGAGTGGGAGTAGTGAAAGAGTCAGAGCGACAGAGACGATAACTCACTTTTGTTTCATTTTTCAATACACAGTGGAATAATAATGGCAAAATGAGCAACTTCGCTGTGCAACAAGAAGATGTCTCCTGCCTTCTCTCTCTCTCTCTCTTGGTCTCAAGATGCTCCCCAATGAACATACCAATAAACACGCTAGCAAAAGTTAGAGCATACACACACACCAACACACACATGCTAGTTGGAGAGAGGAGAAAGTGCGAGGGGGACACCTTGACTCCTTCGGGAAGTCAAGCTGGAAAAGTCCTCACCCTCCCTTTTGTTGTCTACTGTACTCCGCCTTGGTTATATGGCAATGTATAATTTTTATTCGCACCAAGGTTGCTCCCCAAGGAAATGTCGTCGTCGAGGCTCCTTCGGCGGTGTAGCCCCTTTTCAGCTCCCCTCCCAAAATATTGCAACATAAAACTTTACACAAATATAATCTATAAGCAGCAGAAAATTCATATTAGAATCGTGGGAGAGGCTGAGATAGGAGGGAGTCTTATAGGGAGCACACACGTGTGTGACTTTGTTTGTTTTTAGCGGAAACACTGGTTTGGGTTAGCTGCAAAAACCATTTGTGGCTTAGGTAGAGATGATTAATTAACGTTTAAAACTGTCTTTTTGAATAAACCATTTGTTACCTAGAAAGTGGTTTGAGTTATACAGCTCAAAGTAGCATTATTATGAAATTAAAGGGTGTAATATGAGAAATTTAGAAGTAACTATAAAGGTTATTTTGTAGATATAAGCGAGTAAGAAGCAGTGAGTATCGAAGTGGAATTTTTCCGGGTTATTCCTATATTTGATTATTTAAGGACATTATGTCGAAGGTAGAATTGTAAATGCATGTTATGCTTTAAGATCTAACTTAAAACATGAAATAAATATTACTGAACTTTAATTTCTTTATTCCTATAATTTTAATAAATATATTTTTAAGTTTAAAAATATTTTTCATACTTTATTACGTACTCTTTGACACATATTCCTGTGATTTTAAATAAATTGAAATTCCATAAGCTAAATCCCTATTTAGTGCCAGTGTCCCACTGTTTTGGCTAAACCCTCAAGTTGGGCCAACACCGCAGTGCTGGTGATGCGCACAAAAGGGCCAATTCATTCTCGCCGGGTTTCTCTTCGTTCCCGGCAACGGCACGGAGCAGAAAGACAATTTTCGGATCCCCAAACTTATCACAGCCTCTCGATTTCCCCTTAGAACATTATACAACCCACAAGGGGGCCTCGCAGGACGAGCGGAGCTCCACGAGCAGCTCCAGCAGGAGCACCAGTAGTAGCAACAGCAGCAGCAGCAGCAGCAGCAGCAGTAAACGGACGCAGTGCAGCAGCGTGTACTTGTCATATAATATGCGCGTGCGAGCGAAAGGGATGGCAACTGCAGGCGCGCAGTGGTGATAAAGTTTGGTCCTCCGTAGTGCCGTTAGTCCCGAAGAGTTCGCAGTGAGGTTAAAGCCTCGCACACACACACACACACACACACACACACATACACTCTGGGTAGCAGTAACATTTGGAGAGGCTGGAGAGCTCCCAGGTAGCCGGCAACAATAATCCAGGGCACCCAGACCTTTCGAATGGCATTTGTGTGCCGGTTACAGTATCACTTCAATAGATTTAAACAAAGATTAAAACAAAATTGTATAAGATATTCATTTAATATTTTTTTAACATTCCATGGCCCCATATTTGACAAGTTTCATATTTCTTTTGGATCTAATAAGTTTTATAATTCAAATAATTATATCTTCCAATATTTAGAAGAATAATTATTAATGAATATTGAATATTTAAGAAGAAAGTAACGATATGTTCTTGGTAAGGAACTTTCCAATAATTTTCTCATTTACAACAATAGTGGTGCTGTCGAAAAGTAGGCTTTAAAATAATATTAATCCTGCTCTTCTTCCTTTAGATTTCCTTGTGCATACTTATTTTACTTATTGAAACCTCACAGCCTAAATTTTTGAATTTTAATTAATAGAAAATATAATATAATAATAATTTTATTAATTATAAACCCCATTTGGTTCCCCCTTTAAGAAGCTGACCTGTACATAGGGAGAGGGTGGCACCGGCACCCGACTAGGTTCTAGTTGATGATGATGTTCTCCATGCCATCGTCTTGACTCACGGGAATTCATCGCCCGGCCCCGTCCAGGGCACACACACACATACCGAAAAGAGCAACAAATAATGAACAGACACGTCGTCCCAGTGTGTGTGAGTGTGTGTGTGTGGGTTCTACCCATACAAAGGCATGTGTGTTTACGTTCCATTTAAAACATGAAGCTTGTTTTATTATTGTCAGACAGCAGGCAGCGGCCATAACGGCCAGGCAGCGCTTTGGTCATTGGAATCGATGGCTTTACACCCAAGTGCCATAATCCAATGACGCACAGGAATACCGAATACATGGCACACCATACACACACACACACACACACACCACTCGCACACATATGTATTGAGGCATATTGAGATACGGGTGTGTGCGTGGATGGGGCCTCACGGAGACATCAAAGTTGATGTGACCAGGCAGCGGTGGCATCCAATGGGGAAAAGCCTCCCGATATACAGGGTTTTGCATTGAGTCCTTGTTCGATGTGTTGCCTACTTGTAAGCGGGGAAAGAAATTCTTTAAAAGGTATGGGATCAAATCCATGGAGTTATTAGAAAGTCTTTTGTCATTTAAATTACTTTTTAAGAACATTTCGGAGACCCTGTTTTTCTATATTTTAGAAACGTAAAAAATCTTAAACTATTCATCCTACAAATGTATGTAAACAAAGAAATAAAGTATGAAAAAATCGCCCTGTATTTGAGAACTCTTATATGATGCATTAACCTTATCCAATTTACAAGAGCATTCCACACTTTTAAACCGTCACCGTTAAGACACTGAAATGAACCGAAAACCTGTGGCAAAAGGACTCACGTGTCCAGTGTCCAGAGGATGCGGATGTGCCCTAGATGGGTCAACTCTGGATACAAAACAACAACAACAGGGGGGTGGAGCTGGAGATGGAGCAAAAACCTTACATTTGCTATTTATGAGACTGTCGAGAGTTATTAGCCGGACATGTGAACGACCCGGGGGAAAAGGCCAAGACGACCACCACGTCGACGACGATGGACTTGAGGCAACTAGAGGCTCAAAGCCTGAGGATGCCAGTTAGTTTACATACAGATATAGTCCGTGTATAGTACAGATATATCTTTTGGCTAGAGGCAATAAAATATGCAAATTGAAGTCAAACTTACCAGAGGACTTGCAGTGTCCGTTGGCATTGGCAGCAGCAGCAGCAGCAGTGGCAGTGGTAGCAGCAGCATCAGCATCAGATGCAACTACCTCATCCCGTGGGTGTTGTAGTTCTTCTGCTTCTTCTTTTGCCACTGCAGCTGGGGCCACTGGCTCATCAGCTGTTGGCCAGCATTGTTGCTGTGATTCATTGGGCTGCTCCTCCTGCTCCTGGTTCAGCCCTGCGTCTCCCTCGGGCGTCTCCTCCTCGTCCTCGTCCTCATTATCCTCGACCTCCTCATCGCCACTGAGAAGCTCCTCCTTGGGCTCCAGCAGGCCAGTGTTTTCCTCATCCTCCTTTTCGCCAACTGCAAGGAAAATAAAATGCGTGTAATGAGATAAATATTAACAACATTTTGGTAGTTATTCATGTCGACTTGGGGAGTTTTCCAGCAATTATTGTGAGCAATAATATATTTGCAGCAGTTAATATTCAACGGGAAAGTTAAGGTCCTATGTTTAATAAAATTCCCTCAGACGGTCAAGAAAATCTCCAATTAAAAAGAATAAGAATGATTAGTAAACCAGAATCTCAATAAATAAATTAAAACTAATCAATTGATAACACTTCGAACACACTCGCACAAATTGGTACATGTCGAAAATTGGCGCAGACATCGGGTGCTATATGGGCACCGGCTCATGCAGATTATGCCAAAGCACTCCCCGGGCGGCCATCGGGCCAAAAATTCTATTTACACGCTACGTGTTTTATTGTTCCCCCTTACCTTGGTCAATAGCTCAAAACTCTGTGACTCCTTGGATGGCTATTCCGGGCAAAGCCGCCACCTGATCGATGGCTTCTGCCCAGGGCCTTGTGGGTGTCGTTTTAACCTGCCCTACCCCCTCTCCTTCCTCTTTATCACAAAAAAAAATATAGACAGCAGAAGAATGAAACGGAGCGCTCTGCCTCAAAAGTAATTGCAAGGGTGCAACAACAACAACGAAGGCAGAAAGGACAAGAGAGAACCAGAAGTCCTTCTGGCAAATGGAAATGTGTAACATGTGTAATTGCGCAATTAAATTGAATTTTTCATACATTTCTCCAGCTGCCAGTGAGATGATGGCCAAGTGAGGGCAAGACGAATGTCCGATGGTTTGAGAGACTCAGAATACTACTACCTGGGACAGGGCCAGCCACAGGTGAGGATATCATTTACATGTTGTTACTTTACTTCTTATTTAACTTAATTTGTAAAGATATGTACAAAAAAATGTTTTCAACTTAACTATTGTAGATAAATATTACTAGTTATTTTAATATTATATATGAGACTGTAAACGAAATTTAATGAGGATTTCACATTCTTGAAAAGTAATGTCTAAAAGTATGCAATTAAATATTTAAGGATTCTTTAGTTCTTCATTGTAATAAATTTTAATAGATACCTCAATTATATTTATCCCTTGTATTGAATATGTTAACATACTAATTCCATTAAAGAATATTACTTAAAGTAAATGTTAAGATCCTTGACTTAAAAACACAGTGAATGATTTCCGGTGGGCGAGCCTTATATGTATACATAAGTCACCTTCCGTTTCCGGTGAATTCTGAGAAAGAGACCGAGAACGATGCTGAATTTTTGGCGGAGCAGAGTCTGGAGGCAGCGCGTGACCATTTCGTATTGGTGACCGCGAGGAAGGTAAGGACTTAAAATATATGGCCAAAAGGACAAGCCGGAATCACACCGCAAGGAATCGCCATGGAAATGAACATTATGCATGGGTATGGTCACCATAATGGAAGGGGATTGGTGGAGGGGAGGCAGAAAAAGGGAACAGTGAAGGAACACATTTGGTTATTATTTCCATATAAAGGAGCTGAATGCTGTGGCCACTTGGAGGCGAGTTCCTGTTCGCTGGTGTTGGGTGCTGAATGGAAAGTGGGCGGGGACTTGGTGTGGGTTTTGGGTATGGGTATGGGAATGGGATATGGTGGATATGGTAGCATGGGGATGAGGGCACTGTGTGCCGTTTGCGGCGGAAGTGCCGCGTATTTTAAAATAAATGCGCGTGGCGTGGCTGGAGCAGGGTGAGAACCAGTTATGGTCGTTAAAATTGTCGAAGCACCGCACCAACAACAACAACAACAGCAACATCAACAAAAACAACATCAACAGCACAAGCAGCAAGTCAAGTTCTTTTTGTGCAAGCCAAAAAGGATATTCGTACAGGGAGAAAAATAAATGAGGTAATTCATACTTGCGAAATTGTATATTTTAAGAGAATTAAAATTTACAGAAATGTTAAATATTATGATTCAAATATATGTATATCAAATTATATTTGAAGTGTCAGAGTATTTAACAAATAAATCAAAGCATATCTAATCATACATAATTAATCAAACAAATTTTGTAAACTTTAAATCTCTTTAAAATGTTTCAAAAGATGCCATAAAACAAACGAATTTTAAATGTATGAGTTTGGTTTAACGATGTTCGATTTTAGTGGGGTTTTTAATATAATAATTAAATCTTGGCTGTGCATATTTTAAAAGAAAATTTAAAAATATTTTTTGTTTAAAAATATTTATAAATATATATATATATACATAAAAGCATTAAACCAAATACTTTTTTCTTCTTTTCTTGTTCTTTTTAATAAGATATAAAACTTAACATTAAATATATTTCGTCTAGAGAATTTGAAATTTAGAACTACATTTTATAGTTGAAATTTATTTATTTAGGGACGTTTTAAAGGGCATAAAAAATACTATTACCACTTTTAATTGCTACCTTATTTCACTAAGTAAAATTTTCTCTCTCTGCATGTGTGTCTGAGCGCCGAGTTCGCTGAGTGTATGTGTGTGTAAGCGCCCATATGTATGCAAGCGATTTTCATTTTTGTTTAAAGCCCCCCAGAGTGCATTTCGCACTCGGTCGCTGGGTTGCCATCCCTCTCCCTCTCTCTCACTCTCCCTCGCTCCAAGAGAGTTGGAGGGTGTGTGGGGGGATATGGTGTGTGTGTGTGTGTGGAATAAGTGGTATGTCTGCTGTATACTGTGAGCGTGTGTGAGTGCTTCTTACTTGTTTTTCGGCAATGGCATGTTTTTAAGCGTTTTACTCAAACATACACACACACACACTGAACCAGCAAAGCCAAAAAGGTGCACGCTCTCCCACACACACACACACATGCACAGTTATTTGTAAACGTAATAATAAGCGTCGTCCCCTTTGACCCATCAATCCGTTACCACTGCCATCGCCCCCCCTTTGCCATTTTCCCATTTCCCTCTTTTTCCCGCCAAATACCCCAACGCTTGCCACTTTTCCAGCTCCCAAACGGCTACTAAGCGTGTGTAGAGGGCACCAGCGAGCAGCTTGGGAGGATTCCAGGGGGGTGGCAGAGGGTGGCCATGGAGGGGCGGGGGCATTGTGGGGTGGCGTTGGAGTGGACTTTTCCAAAACAAAGCGCGCTTGCAACTTTTATAATGGCTCGTACTCGTGTGTGAGAGTGTGTGTGGTATTAAAAAAATAATGAAATAACAAACCCGAAGGTGTTGTTAAAAGCGCCAACAATAAATTTTATCAATAGTTGCAGGGAACCAGAGATAAATGTCAGAAGCAGCCACTCGAGGAAACATGGCCAAAGAGATCGTGAAAATAAAACAGTTCAAAATAATCGCCAAAGGTGGTTAATGCTTACTCACAAAAAATATAGAGTTTAAATTATAGCCAAAGGTGGTTAATCTTAAGATAAAAACAAAAAATATTTTAAACTTTGACCAAATGGTGGTTAATTCTTGCTTCAAGATATTACTTTAAATAAGTATGAGGAAGGCATTATTATAAGCTGAAAATATTTCTGACTTTGAAGGCTGTTTTAGTGCTTTAAGCTTAAGTAATAATTAATATACTTAACCATAGGACTCTAAATATTTTTAAAAGTTTTACTTGCTTTATTTTAGGGTTTTAAAGTGATTGTTTTAAAGTCCTTTTTACTTTTAGAAAACCCTTTACAAGATGTTCTTCAAAGCGCTAAAAAGTATGCAATAATTAACATGAACCCATATTTTAACCTATATTAAACGATTTCTATTCCCTGGTTATGTTATCTGAAATCCAATTAATTTTAAATATGTATATATTTTTTTACTACTTCCACTTATTTCAAAACCCACACAATGTGGGTAATCTTTAAGCCCAAACTAAACTACTGCTCGTGTGTGCGTTAAGGAATCCGCAGAGCTGTCAAAATGCCACCACCGCTGGCTGATGTCGTTTTTAGTGTTTGTTGCCTCCCAGGAAAATCCCCAGCGGCCCAGCGACCCCGGGTTTTCCGCCCATCCTGACACACTCCTCTCTCATTGCCATCGCCCACAGCAAATTCTATTTACCAAACTAGTTACCGCTAGACGCAGCCAATATCCTCACATTATGTGCCAGCAAAAAGCCAATGCACATGGAAGATGCCTACATTCTCAATGGATTTCCCTGCTCCTTCTCCGATCCCATTTTCCCCGGTTGCTGCCACTGTTGTTGTTGTTGCTGTTGCTATTTTTGGCGCGATTTTGCCGTGCAATGGCAAATATTTTGCCAATACACCAAGGACTCGCGCTCACGTTGACGATGAGGTGAAACTCGAGGGGCGAAATTGGGCAGAAGCAGAGGCAGTAGCAGGAACAGGACCGGGAGCAGGAGCAGGAGCAGGAGCAGCAGGATCGGGACCAGGAGCTGGGGTGGCGAAAGGAGCCAGAAGGCAACGACAACTTATGGCAGCTGGCATCCTAAGCCTTTCGCCTAGCTATGGGAATTCCACAGCAGAAGCCGGCATTTTAAAGCATTTTACGACAGACAGTGTCTGCTAAAAATATGCACACCTTTCGGTGGAATTTGGTGAGATAAAATTTGACAGGATTAAGTTGAATATATTACTAATATTTTAATAAAAAAAAATTATTAAGTATATAAAATAGTTAAGGGTGCTTTTTAAGGGCGTTCTAGTTAGATTTGATTTTAAAGAGTGGGTACTTCCTAAGTTCTTTCTTTCAAGGATTCATTCCTAACCTATATAATATTTTTCTTCTAAAAGAAGGTTTATAATTCAATTGAAATATAAAGGGAATCAAGAAATCTTCATTATTAAAACGTATTTCATTGCCATGACTTTGTTTTTGTAGTTTGTATTATTCCTAAACTTTATAAATCTAACAAAAAATGCCCTTTAAATTTTAAATATTATTGCTGTAAGTGCCTGACTTTTGTTGATCACTATATAATTTTTATAGTTGCCAAAAATCAAGACAAACTACACTTTCTTTCATTGAAAAGATGACAAGACATTAGCTATTGTGGATAGTCAATATAAATAGCTGAACGTTGTTGTTCACCTACATATATAAGCTTATGTACTCTTCATATATATATATATATATATAGTGAGGATACCTATACCTAGAGATATATATAAATTTATACATATATAGTGATACATGCAAACTGGCTGGCAACGCCGTCAACAAATGAAAACTCCCCGGGGAGTTGGCGCATGTTTGTTGCTGTTGCCAATGCCGCTGCTGCGCTGTTGCTGCTGCTGGTGCTGGTGCCGGCAATGTTGCCTCGTTGCCCGTCGCTTTTCTCTAGGGGATTGGCCAGAGAGCCGTTGCCGACTCCCCTGAGAAATACATGGCAATGGGTTTTCTGTGTTTTGTGCTTTTTTCGCGCGCCCCAAAACGCTGGCAGAGCGAGCGAGAGAGAGAGATGCCAGGGAAAAAGAGCAAGCCAAAGTTCGCTTTTTTATACGTTGGGGAAATTTTCATGCCCCAGCATGAGTATATCTTTCTCGGTCGGTCTCTCTGTCTCTGTGCTTGTGTGTGTGTGTTTGTGTGTTTGTAAATTTGTGTGTGCTCCAGCTGTCTTTGGGGGTTTCCCCCAGATGTCCCCCTCCCCCACACACACTGCCGTCGCAACCCACCCATGCACATGTGTGTGCATTGGATTTATTGTCAATTTTATTTGTTATCATTGTTGTTGGCTCTGCGGCTGCTCTGCTGTTATTTACACTGACACAATTTGGAATTGTATTAAAAATTAACGGCACTTCGGTTGCCTTGGCTCCACCCCAACCCGCAGAACGGCAAATGGAACCTGAAAATTGCAGATCACAAAAAGCTCAAACTGCAATCTGCGTTTTTTGGCCTTTCCGCAAAATGCATTTATTTTTTGGCTGTCACTTGGCTTAAAGGAGATTTTATTATGGGTTGCTGAAAGGTCCTTTATAAGGCTTAAGATTGCATATTTATTAACTTGAACTTGAGGCTTTTTTGCTTGAAAAATTAACCTTAAGATTGGTACTGTTTATAATGTTTTAAACACACTTTCCTATTCATACTTTTTTTATAGTTAAATACAGATTTTCCTATTGAGTTTAGTATATCTGACTCTATTTATTATTTTTAAATTTTGTTCCAATATTTAATATATAATTTTTTAATTTCTAGGATAGCGTATCTCATATTCTCTTTGCTCTTGATCTTATTCTAGCCATTTACTTGTTGGTTCACCAGAACACTCAATGTTTCAACCTCAGGTTGGGGGGGTTTGTTTGGGTTTTGGGGTTCCCCTGGCCCCACAGACCACCTGTCCTTGCTCCTCCTCCCCTCACCTAGTTCTGGCTGCCCCCTCTGACCATTCGTGGATCCCTCATCCACTTTGCCCGCTCGCCTGCTCGCCTGCTCTCTCTATCACTGACAGTTAGGTGTGTTGGTCCTTGGGGAATTGGCCAATGCCTGCAAGCTGCTGCTGGGCTGCAGCCTGGCAAGGGTCGAGAGTCGAGTCCGGACTGAGAGTTGGATGGCCCCAAATGGAGGAGGAACTAAGGGAGGTGGAGCGGGGAAACGGACCAGACCGGACCGGACTGGAGCCGAGGCCGAGGCCATTTGCATTTGTCACATTTTGTGGTCCCGCGAGCAAAGTTTGGCAGAGTAATGTTGTGTCCACCACCCCCTTTTGGGGCTTTATCAAAGCAAATCAATCAGATGCACACACACACACACACACACACACACAGCACACACTATGGGCTATGGAAATGGAGTCCATGTCAGTTGGTGGCCACTTGGGGAATCGAGGGAACTGGGAGACTGACCACCCCGAACTTACGTTTGAGACAGGCGCGCGGCTTGGCCTGTTTGCGTCGGGACATGGCCAGAATGTTTATTTAAATCACTGTTTCTCCGAGCTTTTCTTTTTTGTTTTCCGGCTAACGTTTCGCGCCAAAGCGTTTTGTTTTGATTTCCGGTTGAATCCTGGCTGGCGCTGCGGATGATGATGATATCCTTGCGCCTTGAGCGTCGGCAACTGACTGACTGATGCCACAAAATGCCATCAAAACAGAAGCTCTTAAAAAAGAAACCAAAATGTGCTAAGTGAAACGGCGCAATCGCAAAGAGCAGAGCAGAGTGCGGAGAGTGAGAGCACAAGAGGGGAGAACCAAGTCCAGGAGCAAGACACACACACACACACGCAGCCACCCAAGCACTCCTCCTGGCCAAGCAGCCATCTATCAGTGCTCAGAACTTACTCCCCAGAGGGTTGCTGCTTCGCTACCACCAACCCCCTTGGGACGCGGACGCAGCACCAATCGCGAGCGTTTCTGGGTGCCTTTCAGGAACGGTGAGCCTCATGCCGACAGGCTCACAGTAGGCGACCATAGCCACCACCTTGTTCCACTTCCTTGCCCACCGCTTCTTGGGCCTGTTGCAATTATAAAGTCAAGTCAATTATTTCCCCGGCCGACTTTCGCACGTGCGTATGGGGGGTCGAGGCACGATTTCGTCCCCGAGATTCTCCCAAGGTGCGCGCCTTCCGAATTGCAATTTCCACTTGGGTTCTCAGCAGCGGGATAACAACACACACACACACACACACATACTTACACGCATACGAACACTCGGCAGCCGTGGCTCCTTGGTGGGCCGTGAGAAAACGTGTCCAGATTGCCGGAGCTAGCTTGAAAGTGCAAGGAATAGGTCGGGCTTTGGCAGCGGGTGACGACGACATTGGCAATGAATCCTTTGTTATGGCTTTTGGGCACAAGGATTCCAAGGAGTGCAGCAGCAGCACGCATGGGTTACAAAAGTTCTTGGATTTTTAACATCAAAGCAATACAACAACTAAAGTTTATTTTATATACAAAAGCGGGATGAAATGTGATCTATAATCTAATGTCTTAGGAAGAAAAATCTTTATCATTATTCAAAAGAGTAGAACTCTAATAAAAATTATTTCAGCATTACTAAGTTCAAGCTTATCGACTAGTAAATAAATTAATGCCTATCTGTTACTATTTGTAGTAATAAAGTACTTCTTGTCTTAGTCTCTAAAAGTCTAACTTTTACCATTTTTCTTCGATTTGTCTATGAAAATATTTGGACTATTAAAATATTATTTAATGTTTAATTAAATATTACGGTCTAATTTGACCTATAATTATATTTAACATTTAAAGAACGAAATTCGTTACAAACGTCTTTTAAAAAGTAACATGGCTTGAATTGCATACCTTATAAATGTATTTTTCTACTAGCAAAGGTAGGCCTTAAATATATTCAATGCCTTTTTGCTTCTTAAAGATTTATAAAAAGTAAAAATTAATTAAATTTGTTTATGAAAATTCATTGTTTAATTTGAAAACCATTTTCCGTTTCAGATCATTTTTGACATCACCAAAGAGACCCTAGTGGTATATTAGAGAAACATAACTGCATATATTGCCCTCAGCCACTTCATGGTGGCGCCACTGTATACCAACGGTTTTGCTCTTTTTTAAACTGTTTATAAAGTTTATGCTCTGGACTGTTCCGATTTTCCCTCAGATATGCATTATATATCTTTATTTAAACTTTAAATAGCGTGAAAAACGTAGTTTATTTGATTTAAAACAAATAACATGAGAATTACTTTTTAGTACATACAAAATACATAATACAATAATTTCCCTCACAGATGGCTCTATTAATTGTACTAAAATTTCAAAATATTTTAAAATAATTAATTAAATTCCCATCTTATAGTATGTTTAGTTTAGTTTGGGTAACTTTTTTATAATAACAAAAACAAAAATGGAGTCTCACTACGGTAAAGTGAATTTTTAATATACTTGCAGTTTTAAAATATCTCATAACTAAGCCAAATTTTTTTTAATTTTAAGTCTGTAATTTTTTAAAGATTGGTTAATTTTTTTTTTCCTATTTTAAATACCAAATCGACTCTGCTGTTGATGCTGATCAATAATAAATATGATTTATAGGGTCGGAAATGACTCCTTCATTAATTAGCATCAATAAAACATAAGATATGTCCCTTAAAATATTAATAATTTTATATGATAATTTTTTTGTATCATAAATATCATAACAAGGCAATAAATGTATTTAATTTAAATTGGAAAGCGGTTCTATGATAACAAATCAGCACATTATTTTTAAAATAAAAAAAAAAAACAATTTTTTTTACCCCCCATAAAATTTTTAAAAATTGAGTACATTTTTTTTATCAGCTTGTTAGTCAGAAAAATTTAGTTGTTGATGCTGATCAAGAATATATATGATTTATGGGGTCGCAAATGATACCTTTACTGCGTTTTAAGTCTTTGAGTCGAATTTTAATACCCTGCAACAATACATAAAAAATACAAAACTTACATAAGTGTTTCATAACTTTCATTCACTTGGCTTATCCTCTGATTATTCCCAGATCATCACATCCTACCACCACCTTGGGCACTTCCTCTGCCGGACTCGGATCGATATGGAGATTTGTTACGCATGTGGCAGGGAAATCGAGGGTCTCTTGCGGATACATTTTTCGTTCGATTCGCATCCCACACTCCCTGCATCCTTTTTCCACTCCATTCATATTTTCATTCATGAAGGGATACGATTCCGAATCCGAATGGCGATTGCCCCGCTTACTCCTTTGTTTACTATCGACGGAGATGCGTAGTAAAAGTAGCGGCAGGCAGCGCCAGTTAACCCAGTCAGAGAGATCCAGGGGAAAACAAGACAAAAGAGAGGAGGTGCCATAAGAAGAAGACTCATGAGGCCAAGAAGAAGGTTCGGTAAGGTAAGAAAAAAAGAAGAAACATCTGTCGTCGACGACCAAGAAATCCGGTTGCAAGCTGCAACACACCGGCTCAAAATGCTCCACAGCGCTCAGAGAGAACATATGATTGAGCTGCCCGAAAAAAAACAAGAAATATAAAATAAAATAAAAATGTGAAAAACAACAAAAAGACGAAACGCACCTTTTGTATTTTGGAGCAGCTGCCGTTGATGCCTCGAACCTCTGAGGATCGAATCGGTGCTGGAGTTGGAGGGCAGCAGACACTCGGCAGCCTGTTGATGAGCCCGCAATGCACACATGCTGCAGGCTGTGGCATACTACATACATGTTGAGCCAGTGAGCCAGTGGCTCCTCCAATAATGATAAGTCGCCGGCGGACGACTTCTTCACAATAAATACCGAGTTTTGTCGCTCAATGGCAGCTGCCACCGATTTTATAGGGGGCTTTAATAGATGCAAAAAGAGTTTAAACAAATAAACTTGGGTTCAGAAAGTTCAGATAGGTCAAGTTACTATAATTGCTTAAAGGGAGTAAAGTGAGGCTATAGCAACATTATTTATATATGGTGTTAATGGTATAGGTAAATAATTAACACATCGGGGAATGATCCTAATTATATTAATAACTATATACTAAGTATTTTTTGTTTAATAAATGCTAAAAACATCGAAGGTTTTTACTAGAGTTTACTATGAAAATCGTTGCTGCATTCTTTAAAGGAAGAATAGCTTACAGAGCTCTGTAGATTAACAAACCTTTACAAATAAATTTAAAAAAACCAATTTGCATCGCATAGAATTATTAATAATAATATTTTTACACATTAATATATAAAGGTCTAATATTTTGATATTTAAAACAAAAAAACATTTACCTAAGATTAATTTCTTGTTATAACCTTACAGGGTACTATAAATCTAGTAAGAATATTTAACCAAATGGAAGGACTAATTTTTGACCCTTTAAATCATATACATATGTTATTGATCTACTGATTAAAAGCCAAGTCGTTCTGACATGTCAGTTGGAGAAAACATTTTTACACAATTTTCCAAAATTTTATAAGGGGTTATCTGTTGAAAACTGGAAAAGTCATAAATTTTTTCTTTAAGTTTCTTTAAGTACTGGTTATAGAGATACTTACTGATCATAGATACTTTCTGGTCATAGTTACTCCCTGGTCAAAGTTACTTACAGTTCATTAAAACTTACTGATCATAGTTAATTACTGATCATAGTTACCTATGTAACTGTTCAGAGTTACTTACTGTTGAAAGATACTTATTTATCCTCTACATTTCACATTAATTTGATTAATGTATGACTATGTATATATTTAAAATATATAAAAAAATTGTCTAAGAATGTAAATATATTTGATTTAATTGAAGTACTTGCTATAAAAATTATTTTAAATATATATAAAAATTGTCATAGAATGTACTCAATTTATTTATAAATGTTTTTTCTTTTATATTTGGAATATATTATATAAAGGAAATATAAAATTTCACAATGCAAATTAGTATTTGAAAAGACTTATTATTAGACAAGTCAAATATGTAGATTTATAGTTCATTGGGCTCTTTATAAATTTTAATGATTTAAAATATTTTTATTAACGAGCAAGGAACTAAAATACCAATTTTGAGTTGAAAAGCCTATAAACATAAATACCTTATTAAAGTTTGGTTAATCCCTGTCATATTTCTGTTGAAAATTTCTGAAAGGAAGCACTCGTTTCCTTGTACTTCCTGTTCTAAAATTCGCACTAGTCATTGAGCCACTCAACATGACCTTTTGGCGCCCTGAAAAAGTGAACATATGTTGACAAGGTTGCTCGATGTCCGAAGCCTGATGCCTGCTGCCTTCGTTCCTGCTACCCTTATTTCCAGCTTTTCTTCCAGTGCAGTTCAGTGGCACGAATGTGAGGCACGAAACCGAAGCTGAACCCAAAATCGAGCGAGCCCTGCTGAATGCCGCTTCGTGTGCGCCGCTCCTGTCTCATTCGAATTTTGTGCGTGCAACGCGAAGGACGTGCCGCTCCGCTTCGCTTACCTCGTTCTCCCGCTCACGCGCCGTCTCACATATTTTGTTGTTTGCCACTTTTTCGCGCCACCCCAAAAATAACACCAACAAAAAGTATAACACAAAAAAAAACAAGCATTACAAGAAGCGAAACATAACGGTGAAGTTATAACTATATCCGTGACCATTTGTGACGTCAGAGTCGGATAAGAGGAGAGAGTGAAAAAAATCGCCAGGATGTCTGCGAATAATCATCAGCAGCAGCAGGCGGCGCCCGCCGTTGTGGCTCCCGCCGCCTCCTCGGAATACCTGAAGCGCACCTGCCTCATCTGTGGCTGCCACACCAATCAAACGATCAATATCTACGAGCCCCGGTCCGGCCCCAACATTGTCCAGTTGATCCAGGCGAAATTCAAGTTTCAGGTAAGGATTTTCATTGAACACGGAAAGGATATGCTCTCGCACGAGCACAGGCTCGTAAAAATCGATACTGGGGCAACTCGGCGGATGAGTCATGCAACATTCACAACGTCCTTCGACGACGAGGAAAGTTTCTGCCCCGTGCGCGTGTGTGTTTTTGGGTTAAACTGGGGATGAATTCCGTGGGGCGGAAGAGGAGCACAAGAAGAAGCAGCAAGGGGGTGGTGCAGGTAGAATCTCAGGTAAACTCCCTACAGCCCCAGCATCCCACACGGCAAGAAATAGGGATAGAGTTGCTATGATAAAGGGGAGGGATATATTTAGGTTTTATTGGAGTTTCAATTTGCATAACTTCAAGGATAATCTTCTGTAAAGTTCCTAGATACAAAATTAAGGAACGCTTGAAAAACAAGGACATTAAATATAGATATTTTTCAGTCAAAGGTTCCTCAGGAGAAATAAATAATAATAAGCCATTTTCTTCTTTCCTGCTTGTTAAAAGAATACTCCAAGCAAGGTCCTACAAACAACCTCTAGAACTATCCTTTTCTACCTTCTCTTTATCCTTATCAAAGTGATAAACCCGAACATCTCTTACGGAACTGATTAAATCAACCAAGAACAAGTTGTATCTTAGCACAGATTGAGATTAAGATCTCTTCTGGGTTTTCTTGTCTCCCTTTTTTTACTGCTCTGATCTATGAACTGCATATCCTGTCTCCTGGCAGCTGACTACGTTCGGTAATTGGACACTTTGCATATGCGCCGCCACTTAGTTCGATTCCTTTCCCATAATTTCCAACAGCTTGTTCTAATATGTGTGTGTATGGTGTGTGGGAAATGCGACAGCGGAAGATGATGGCCAGGGAAACCGATCCTGGCTGAAGATCCTTAGTTTGTTTTCTGTGGAAGTGAGTTTCGGGTCTCGAATTACACTCGGCACTCCAACTCCACGCTACCTGTACCGCCGCCGCAGCAAACCTGCTCACTCTCAGAGGGCAGATGTGCGGCGGATTGGCCAAGGAGTGCCGAGATTGCTCCAATTTCTGCGGGCAGTGAACGAACCTTACCAATACACTTCACCCCTCTCTTTTTGTTCTCTACACACAGAAATTTAACTATATGAGATGGAAATTCAATATATATTTGTCATAAACAGGACAGGATATAATAAATATCTATAGCAGTAGAAACAACATTCTCGTTACAATATAAACTTTGTTTTGTAGGATGGAGGAGCTTAGGCAGTCAGAAAACAATTAGCAATGGTCATATTTAATTAAAGAAAATTCTTTAAATATATCTCAAATGTAGACACTAATTTTTCCCAGTGTTCTCCTCCCAAACGACAGCTGTATTTGCCGCTCAGCACTCAAAATGCAACCCATCAGGGTTCCCTGATTTTTCTGCTGCTGCTTTATCAGCTCTACCTCATACCTTCTTCTCGATTGTGTGTGTGTTGTGTATTGGGTTGTGTTTTTTTCGCATATCAGCTATTGAATACCTGAACTGAGTCTGAGTTCCCAGTTTATTGTATTTATCGTTGGAGAATATTCGTTAGAACTACGGTGGTTGAACCCTCTCAAACAATGCCAAATCTTAAAGAAAGAAATTCCGGTTCCTTGGACTGCGCAAAACCAAACAAAGGATCCTACCCCTAAAAATAAAATGTCAGAGATTTGAAGTCCCTAAAAATTAGAGGCTAACGAAGTCCTTGAAGTGTCGAAGAAATAAAAACCAAAAACTAGATACCACTCTAATTGCTAGGTCTTCTTCTAGTTTGGTTTTTTTTCGGGGAAAGGTTGTTGCTAAGGCTTCCTTGCTATTGGATTAGAAAAGGAAAATAAAGGAAGAAATGGGTCAAGCTGATATGGATACTTTTGGGGAGGGGAGTTCGTATTAAGAAGACTTATTTTCAAGTGGAAATTAAGTAAAGAGGGGCAAACTTTATCAATTTATTTGTTATTCCAAACTACTTCAACCGCTGACTATACAATTTATTAATAATAAAATAACTTAGTGCCCCTCTATACCACTCAACCCTGAACTTCACCCTCTATTTTCACCCCCTCGGGATCGTTAGAATTTACTTTGAACCGTTATTGCGAAACCCTGTACAACCGTATGTACATTTGCACCACCTGCCGCGATCGCAGCCTGGCAACCGATCACCCCCTAAAGAATTTTACACCCTCGCAAATGGAGTTCTACAAAAAAAAGCCCTCAATGACAGAGCCATAACATACAGTTACAATCAATTTTCAGTCCACACCCCCTGACCTCACGCCCAAGTGCACAGAGAGAAATGAAGGGAGATTGTTAAGTTGGAAATACAATTCTTTATTAAAGATTGAAAATAAATAAATGAAGATATAATAATACATTATATTCCTAAGGTTTAAGGATAAAAGATTCAGTTATTATATTATTTGATAGATGAGTTAAAATATGTTCGAGAACTGTATTTTTGTTTTTAATGGATACAATATATATAGTAACTATAGAATATGATTGATCACTTTAACACGATTTATTAGACGTTAAAGATCCTTAAAACTCTACTTCTTCTTAAACCTAAGTTCTTTGTAATCTTTAAAGATCTCTCTTTATATAATATATCACAAAATTTCCTTCTCTGTACCTGCCAGATATTATATTCGTGTGTGTGGCTTTCAGTCTGCTTTGCACCTGGCCTGCAATTTGCATTATTATACCGTTTTCATATGGGCCCTTGGAGCGCACACCTTTTCAGCGCCGAGTTAAAGGTAAACAGGCAGCCACAATCGCTCCTGATCCTGATCCTCCTTCCCCTGGCTCTGTCTGTGTCCCTGCCTGGTCCCTATCCTGTCCTTTGCCCCTACCCTTCTCCATGGCTACCTTCATCTAATGCGAGGAGCAGCTGTCGCGCATGCGCGTGCCTAATATCCGTCATAGTTGGGTCTTAACCCAGTTCCCTGTCTCCATTCCAGTCCGTATCGATAGGGCGCGTGTCCCTTGGCGAAACTGGTTTACTAACCGAATATCCTCTTAGCTTTTGACTGGTTTTCGTACCTTTTGGGCCAGCTGCTGTTTGTTGCTGTTGGGCGCTTAGTTTTTTGTTGGCAGGTGCACGAAATTATTGATACCCCAGGAATGTTGAGGTCTGGTCTTTAGCTCTCGGGATCTCCAGCTCTGGGGTAATTAATATGGCCTGCCTGCCTGCCAGTTGTTTTTTGAAATTGTTATGTTATTTTTTGCACCTTTGGTTCGATGCTCATTAGTGGTCGGATCCCGAGAGCGATCACTAAGTGCATAGGCGTATCGAAAGGTTTATTCTGTGGTTATGCTTCGCCGGACTTTACATGCCATTGAATTTGGGTCGACTTTTGTTCGGTAATAAAAAATAATATTTCCTTGTTTTGTTTTTAAGAATACTATATTGATTATTATATATAAAATAACTAATTTACATGTTCTTTTCTTTACTTACAGCCCTTGAATGAGGACAAGTTCCTCTGCTTCAGCTGCAACAATTGGCTCATAAACTGGCACTCTCTGCAGGCGGTGAACAGCAATGAGGCTGAGAGCCAAAGTCAGAGTCCCTCACACATGGGCAATAATGTCCTGCAGCAGGAGGGCACCAAGCTGCGTCCGGTGGCGATGGTCAGGCCCCAGGTGCGGGTGCAGCCCCAGGCCCAGGTCCAACCTCAGCCCAGGCCTCAGCAACAGCCCCAGCCCCAGCCACAGTTCCAAGTCCCCGTGAACCCACCCACACCTGTACCCGCACCTGCACCCATAACCTACGCCAAGCGAAGGATTAGTCGACGCAGTGCCTCCGTGAACCGCGTCAACCGTATTCTCCGGCAATGCTGTCTGGAGACTCTGCGCCGCATTCCCAAGAAGAAGAGTCAGGTGTTCCAGGTGTACCTAAGGCAGAGTCAGCGACGGAGCAATATGCTCTGCCGGGTGGAGTGTGTGGCACCCAGGCGAAGGCCAATAGAGCGAGTAGTCAAGGAGGCGTCACCCATTTTGAGTGCCCAGAATTCCTCACCGACTTACCAAAGATTCCCGCAACCAAGTGTGGATGGCAAAGTGGTGGCCATGTTCCGGCGACTGGGCACCACCCTCAGCAGGGAGCAGCAGTCATCATCAGCATACACCACCTCCTCAGCCCCGCAGATCATGAGTCCCTCGAAAGAGAGGCCGCGCTGGACGCGAGACCTCGACGAAGACGAGATCCTGCTGGAATTTGATAGCGCCATATCCGAAGTCCTGCCCACCACCACCACCACCACCACCAATGCCCGACGCTGCCTCAGCTATCAGGTTACCCAGGAGGATGACAAGGAGAATGGAAACCAGAAGGAGGATGAGGACGAAGCGGAACTGGAAGTGGTGCTGGAAGCGGAAGCGAAGGAAGCACCACTGCCGCCACCGCAGAGTCACCGCAACCACCGAGATTCCCACCAAGCTGCGATCCAACTCGCCGGCCTGCGGTTGCCCCGCGGCCTCAGCATTAGCCTGGTCTGAATCAAGGAGGAGGAGGGACCAAAAAGCGGCAAATGCCTCCCAAAAACATACAAAAGGAATAGTCAAATTGCATGCACAAAAAACCAAGCAAATAATGAGCATTAGCGAATGTCTAATTTAATAGTACCTCGATTACATTTTAATTGTTAGTCAAAATACCTTAATTAATTAACTAGCGGACAACAAAACAAACACACACAAACCTAAGAATGTTAAGTTAATGGATGTGGAAAGCTATATTTAAAATATACACATATTAGACTTAGGCAAAAATCCCCCGAAAATGAAACATAAAAGATATAAATCAAAACTCCCCTCAAGCCAATGTAGTTGAATTTATTTGTTTGCTCCTGAAAAAAAAAACAAAAGAGAAAGACAAAAAGTATTACAAATTAACAAAATAACAAAGCGGAATAAAAATACTTAGCACAAAAGCAATCAAAATATATTTGAAAACTGATGTTTTATTTTATTTTGGGATCAGATTTTTAAAGAAGTTTATTATTTAATATATTTTGTGATTAAAAAGTTTTATTTGGGGGTATTTTCCATTTATGTTTGCCTAAAGTTTATATTTAATTTTAACCGTCTTTGTCCAAACGGCGCTGCCAACTTGTTTCAAATGCAGAGGCCAAAAAGTAGGCTTTAAATTCACTGTCGAATTCATGTCAAATCATTATGAAACATGTCGAGTAAGTAAATAATGCTTGTAAATGTAGCGCCAAAGATTTAGGAGTTAAAGATCCTTTTTAATTAAAACAAAAGAACTTAAAATAATTCAAATTAATTTAATATAATTTGCAAATAGCTTTCCTTACATTTTATAGACAAAGTAACACCTTATAATCTCTTTATAATTCAGAATTTCCCTGCTTAAAGCCCCTAGTTAACCCAGGTCAGTTAAGGCTTCTCCCCAACAAATGATGCCTACTTATGGTCAATCGAAAACTAAACAAATCCCACGACATTTCTGGGCCTTTCCAGTATCAATAACAAACAGAATTATCATTAGCTTTCGCCTCGCGTCCAATAGTTAGAAGTGTAATTGTTGATTTCTGATGTTTTCAGTATGACTATTTATTTGATTTAACCAATTGCGCGGCGATGAGAACGAACGTGTTGAGGTCAGCATCGATGCCGTTTTTGTTGTTTATGCAACTGAGACAGCCACGGTGCGTATACTTATTTTGGCTTACAATGTGGCATTTCATCAATACACACGACGACTGATGAGGATGATGATGATGATGTGGTTGCTCGCTCGACACATGACTGGCAATGTTAATAATGTGGTGCGGAAATTTCTACGAGCACTTCAAGTACGCCTTATTGAGGCAGCCGCCAGCCGCTAAGGTTACTTTTATTTATAAATACGAATATCGGTTTGCCTTTTGAACTTGAAGATGACGCGGCGTAATGCGTCGAAGGAGAGCGTGCAGTTTCCGGAAATCAAGTATACGCCCGGTTGGCCGTGCGAAGAGCTTACATATCTCGAGTGCGACTACATTTATTCTGGCGAGAGCGACAAATGACGGTCAGGGTTGCGACAGGCAGCGGCGGTATGCTGAAAATCACGTTCTATGTTCTTACCGCCAGCGGATTCTATCATTGAGCGAGCGGTCTGAGGCAATTTTAGGCTGTCCAAGGATGCGAGAGCTTGCCAAAAAACACAAAAGTGTAGACTTGTCTAAGGTCAGTGGTGGTTGCACGGTGAGAAAAGATGTGAGCAAATAATAGAATTTTTAATACTTAGGATAATATAGTAACATGTTTTATATCACTTAATAGAACTTTATAAAATGTATTTTCTTTATATTAAAAACCTTTAAGATATCTTTCTGGATGTGTTGAATTTCTTAAAAGTCCTAATAAATATTTAATAAAATCTTTACAAACAATGAGTCATATTCAAATTGATAATCATGAACTTTCTAACGTAAAAACAATATGTAAGAAGAACCTGTTTTTCTCAAGACTTTTATGCTTATCCTAGGTCAGGTTCACTTGAATAAATTAAATGAAATGATTGTTCATGTTCTTCGCAACCTTCTTGTATTAGTTTGTATTTAAAAATTGTTTGTAAGTTTGTACCTAATAGAAAACAGGTAATTTTGAGAAGATAACATTTTCAGATCGAGAAAATTCCAGCTCCATACTCATTGCATTATGTCATCAATGAGCTGAGTTATCAACTTCACAGAATTTATACCCAAATCCGAATGGCGATAATTCACCGAATTTATATTTATCCCGATCGACGGGAGATGAACTCTCACTTAATGAGTGCGAGTTCTGTAAATTACACGAGGCAGGAGACTGGTTTTTTTGTCTTTCTGGTTTTTATTCATTTTTTGTTCCTGTTCGAGTACGTTTAATTAGCATAAATTTTGAGAAAGGGAATTCGGCAGTTAAAAGTGAGCAGCGCCAGGAAGTTGTTTAATCGAGCGAGCACATGAACCCCAGCTATGTGATTATATAGAAGGAGTTCGAGTCCGGCGAGGGGATAATATTTAGTGCTCCCTCGCGGGACCTGGCTTCGGTTATGCAATATACGCACAAAATGCTTCCCGTTGGCCATCGACCACCTAGATCTTGTGTGTGTTTGGCTGCACTTTTGGATTTTGCCCACGCGGTGAAAAATTGTGCGACAATTAGTTCAGCTCGCTGGCCAAGCGCCCCGAAAAAACGGGTTTCTTTGCATGGATATAGATACACGCGAAATAATTCTGTGTGATATTGATGATTTTTTTTTTAAATTAATTTTAACGATTTTTAAAAGTCATTTTATGAGAGTCATAGTTAGCTTGGGGTTTGTTTGCATCACATTTAAGTGTTGCTAAACATATTGTTAGCAACATTTGACTAACAACATTCCGCATTTTACCGTGTTAAATTCAGAAACGAATAAATTTTGATAAAACAGTTCCAACAATCCATATTTTTATTTACAAATCAAAGATTTATGCACTAACATTTTTCTATTCTAATTTGAATTTTTAAACATGTACTTTTAGTAAGTTAATTTAACAATACGTTTACTACTATAAAAAAAACCTTCATTTAAACACCATAAATATTATTTCTCAGTGCACCTTAGCCTGCTGTGGGCGGCGTGGCGGGATGCGTGTGTGCAAAAAATCATTCACTTGTGTGTACGAGCGTGTATACCCATTGAAATTGTTTAATAAATCGAATCGAAAAGAAGCAAAAACGACAACAAATATACAACAAAATATAAGATAAAATGAACTGAAAAGTGAACAACAAATACCTTGGGACCGCAAAAAAATCGCACGCACGGCAACGATTAAGATCCGAGTGTGTGAGCACTCGAAAAAATTCGTTTTCGGCCCAGAGGCTGCTGGCAACTCGGCAATAACAATGCTAACGGCCGCTTTATGAACAATTATGAACCGCGGGCGAGTTCGCCAAAAAAAAAGTAAAATATAATAAAAAATCCAAACCCAAAACCGAAGTCAGAAATCTGAAAAATATCGCAAATCGAGTTGGGGGCGCATGCGTCACGCTCGTGTCACTTTGCGAAGACAAACTTTTCGGCCAGGCAGTGGCCGTAATTACGAATTACGAATATTATTCAATAAAATTCAAATTGTTGCTTTCACAGGCAAGGCAGACTGGTTGAGATTTGCTGTTATACTATATATATATTTATATATTTTGGCTGATTTTTTGTGGCTATTTTGTTGGCCTAGTTACTTTCGGTTCTCGAGTGGCGCGAATTTCGCTTTCAGTTTCGAGCAGCCAGGGGGAGCATTGCGCAAGATTCGTTAAATGATTTGGCAAAAAGACAGCAAATTGTTAGCTAAGCTCCATTTCAAGTTCACCATTGTTGGTTAATATTAATAACCATAGACCGTTATCCGTTAAAAACTGGCCCAAAACCAATTGCAACTGCAAATGCTTACTATTTTTTTTGTAATAGGTTTATTTATGGTTAACACGCATAATATATAATTTATTGCATTTTGGGTAAACATTAATTAACAGATTAATGCTTCTGTAGAAAATTAAAAATTAAAAGCTAAAAATGAAAAATATTTTTATTCTCTCCTGTAGTATTCCGTTTTGCTGTTTCCTCCAATCGAAGGACAACCAATTTTCCTAAATCTAAATGTTTGTAATCATTAAGCTAACTATAAGTTTAATTGAAAAATAAAAGGTGTGTTGAAATAATAAACATAAAAAATAAAAACGAAAAAGTTGGGGAAAATTACGATTATCGGGATTGTGAAGATAATGTGGAACCTGGGTAATGTTAAATCTAATGACCTGAGACTCTAATTAAATTTTTACTTGGATCCCTGGCACACCTTCTCCCAATTACATCCGTATTATTTTGCATCTGGTAACTATGGCCACGTTTCTATATATCTGAATTTTATGGCAGCCGTTTTATTTATGGGTTTCTGACTATCCTATATATTTCTCTAACCTAATTGAACGCCAACTGCGATCTTTTATTGGCAATAAAAACATCAATAAATCTGCATATAAGTCAGCAGTGGATTATCATAAGGATATACGCAGCTATAATAGAAAATCTAGAAGTCATGTGAGACTTTGTGAATATAGTTGGGCCCGTTCTCTACTTCTAGTAATTGTTGTTTAATAATAATAATAACAATAGTGATTAATAAAACCTACAAACTATCAACTGGTTAATGGTCAATCATATATATTGATTACTCTGATTAGTTAAGTTGTATCTTATGCGTCTACCAAGCCAATTAATAAGTGATTTCATAAATTTTCTTTAAACTTAAACTATTGGCAGTGATTGTTGTAGTTATGTTGCATATTAAAATGCTTAAGTAAAATATATATTTTAATGGGCAGGCAAGGTTCCACATTAACCTGACAAAACCTATTCGTAAAATTCATTGATAATATAAGTTTCTCTGTTTCTAACCTAAGTTGGTCTAGGGGTGTACATATGTGTGTGTGTATTTTTTGTGGGACATTTAACAAGTTGGACAGCATCACAGTGTACAGCCATTAATTTCACATACAGTTACCCGCACTAAACGGAGTTCTATAACAGTTTATGTTTTATCATTCCCCTAAAATTAATCAACAAAATTCTACATTCTTCTCTTCTAGACAGGTGATATGGCCTGGCCAAACTTCCTGGCCCGCTGGCCAAATCCCTTGCTCCCATCCGGACCGATGGGAGTGCGCACCAGGCTCTCGGCCGCCCGTTGGGCAAAGGATCCCGATCGGGAGCGAGGTGAGCCATCGAGGAAGCTGCCAGTCCGAGATCTAGGCTGTCCATCGTACACATCGGTTCCACCTCCATGCTTGTAGTTGTTCAGGAAGCTTCCAGTGCGTGAGCGAGGAGATCCTTCAAACTCCGACCCAAAGGAATACCGACGATCGTAACCCGAGTCCGTGGAAATGCGCCTGCCGCCAATATACTGGGCATTGTCGTAGGCCGCCAGCTTGTTGCTCAGCTGCTGGAAGTTATTGGAGTACCTGCGGGGCCACACCTGGTAGCCACCACCGCCACCGCCCACCATCTGATCCGTCTGGATGGGTTCCCTCTCGATATTGAAATCATTCGAAGGACGACGATAGAAGCCACCGTTCTCACTGGCATTCGAAAAGGTCCTCTCGAACTGCATGGATCCATTGGAGAAGCGACGCTCCTGCTGGGCTTGGTTGCCGGGACAACTGCCATTGGAGCACACCGAGGTCTTCCGGAAACTGCTCTCAGCTGGTGTCTGTCCAAAGTCGGAGACGCGTCGCGAGCAAGGACAACTCTCCGAACAATTGGAGTCCCTTCGCTGAGGAGCTCCTGTATCGGTTACCGAACAGTTACTGGCTCTCCTCGACATGGAAGCATTTCCCTCGGGTGTGTAATTCTGCTCGGAGCAGTTGGACAGACGCCTCTGTAGATTACTAATGGGATTACCTCCAGAATGGGAAGCAACTGCAGCAGCAGACGTAGGAGAGCATTCGGCCAAGGCAGCCGCCGTGTTGGCGGAGATCGTTGACGTGTTGCTGTAACGCCTGGGACCATAGCCGAAAAAACCGGGGGCATCCTGGTTCTGGATGCCACCGGATCCAATGCTGCCCCTTGGCTGGAAGTGTTGCTGCTGATGCTGCGGCTGATAGGGCATGGCATGGTAGTTGGGCGCCATCTGTTGCTGATAGTAGCTCGGCTGGAAATCCGAGTTGTTCCTCTTCAGCTTGAAGCGTAGATCCGGAACGGTCTCATGGCCGGAGAAGCTGCCACCGCGACTCCTCTCATAGCTGGCATCATTGTAGTAGCGATAGTTCTCCACCATGCGAGCCACCGGAGCGGCAATCTGGATGACGGCCGCCTTCTTGCCGGTCTTCTTCTTGGGCGCCACCATCTCATACACCTGAAAGGGTCCACTCAGATGTAGAGCCTCCCGAGCCGACGAGGACTCCAGGTACTCCACCAAGGCGCATTCCTTCTGCTGCAGCTCGGGATACTTGTTCATGAACTGACGCACATCCACGGGTATGGCCATTCCTGGTTTCACGATGCGGATGAGAGCAATCTCCCCACAGCGGGAGAACAGATCCGAGACCTTTTCAATGGTCAACTTATCCATGGGCAGATCACAGGCCACAATTGTACGCGAGGGCATGGTCTCATCGAAACTGGGCAACGGATCAATCCTTCGCACCTTGGTTCCCACATCATTGAGCTCGATCTTGCGGGACTTGCGACGCACTGCATCGCCCACAACCTTCCACTCCCGTGTAAGTTGACGAACTCTTTTGAAGCTGGACACTAGTTTGAGACTAACGAAGCCCTCCTTGTTCCGCCTAACATGCTTCAGGAGGAAAGCGTCCTTAAGGATACTCTCGTTGGAGAAATAGAACTCCACAGCTTCGGTGATCTCGGCAGCAAGTTCCTCACTGGGAATTAGCGATGGATCCAGGCTGTCAATCTCGTTGGCTCCCTGGGGACTAGCCAGGTCCCTCTCTGGCTGATGACGATGCTCCAGCTCATTGGGTTGCTCCTCCTCCTTTTCCTTCTTGAGGGCAAGGAACGAGCGATGCGTCCGCTTGGCCTCCAGCACAGGTGAGTTGGCGGGCGCCACAGCTGGCGGCGGCGAGGCATCCAGACTGAAGTTGGGATGCAGATAGATGTTGTCCATCTGGTGCTTGCGGAACTTCTCCAAGTTGGCCTCGCTCAGCACCGCTGGAGGTGAGTTCTGTCGCTCGCTTAGATCCACGTCATGCATTATGTGATTGTCCACAGCCAGGGGCTTGAGTTCGTCTCCCTCCTCCGAGGACTCCTCGGAATCGCCTATGGATGAGCCCATGCCCACGTCCACTAGCTGTTGATCTGTGGGCGACATGGGTGGTGCACTCGGGGAAGTGTCCTCCGAGGAGCTGCCATTGCTGCTGCCCAGCTGAGAGTCTAGGGATTCCATTTGGTGGAGCAAAGCCTGAGCTGATCGCTTGGCATGAAAGCGTAGCAACTTGCAGGGCAGCGATGAGGAGAGTGGCACCACAGCCTGGGAACTGCAACAGGGCAGCTCCTCCTCATCCTCTTTAGGCTCCTCTCTGGGTTTCACCATTGCTGGAGGGGATTCCCTTGGCTTCATCACAGGCACAGCGGTGAGTATAGGTTTTAGGATTGGTGTGGGATCCACAGGACTTACTAGGAAGGTGTGACCCTCGGCTCCGGCGTGTGGTGCCTTTACCTCGTACACCTCCTGCTTTTGGGTGTGCTCCTGCTTCTGATCCTGCTCCTGCTCCTGCTCGTGATCCTTGGCGTTATTCATATTGATATTTACAAGCTTAACTTTTTATCCAGACGACCTTGACTGATGCTCTGAGAGGTTTTTGGAAAACACTCCAGCAACAGCGGCAATTGTTTAAAAAAAAACACGAAAAACGTGGCTCAAGCCTTGGTCTTTATCTCTTTCTTTTTCTCACGGCGGTTCCCCTCTTTCTTCACTTTCACTTTCAAGTTCAGCTGGGAGCTGGGAAAAGCTCTTAGCCGCCTCGTATTACCTCGATTGGGAGTTAGCCAAGAGCTTTGCCTGCATTTGTGTAACCCGAAACGTTCATCGAACGTTTGTCAGCTGTTCAAATCGTAGTTGCTGCTGCAGTTTGCTGCCAGTTGTTTTTCTTTTTTAGTTTTTTCCGTTTTTATATATAGTTGGTTGTTTGCGTAATTTTGTCTGCAACGTGCTTGGAATTTAATTTCTTTTTTGGGGTGACTTTAGTTTTATATCTTTTTCTAGGCCGCGTTTGACACCGTTTTTTGGCAAAAGCTGATAAATACAATAAGAGTTCAATTAACGATTTCGATGGTGTTTCAGAGTTTATTAATTTTTGAGTTCAAGCTAATGCTACTTCAGTTTTGGTTGTTGTTGTTGCCCGTTTCCTAACTATTTCCGTAAGGCTTTTTTATTGCTTTTGATGAATTTATTTAAAAAATGTAAGGTGAGTTGAACTTTCTGTTTCAAGCACGCGACTGAATTGAGTTCATGCAACGCTGCAACGCGGAGATCGACTGAAATTGCAAATTGATTTGAGGTCGGTTAAATACCCTCTGCTTTCGTTTCCATTTATGCTTTTTTTGTGTTTTTTATTTTTATTTTCTGCCTCTGCGACGTCAGCCGAGGCAGCTACAACCAGCGAGCGTTATTGAGCGGTCCAAGTACGCACGATAATAACAACAAACAACACACACACACACACACACAGTGCCAATAGCAACAACACGGGGCAAGCAGCGACAGGGAGAGACAGAGAGAGAGAGAGACAGCGAGCAGAGAAGTCAACTGCGACTGCGACAAGTTATTGGCAACACTAGAGTAACATAAGCAACATATAATGACAATTTTATTTTAATTTCACTAAAAAACCCTTCTTTTCGAAACATTATAGCCCTAAAAGTATAACTTATTCTAAACTATTTGTGAAAACTATTAAAATTTCATATTAATTTGAAGTAGATAAATATGTATGTATTTGAAAACCACTTTCAAGCTATTTGTTCAGTATTTAAAATTGTCTTACTAAAGTTATTTCTAGATAGTATTTGGTATTAAACGCAAAAACTATTTAATTATATATAATTTCATAATTATTTAAACAATATCCAGCAAACAATAATATGTTTTTGTTATTTTTTTTTCAATATTATATTAAATTTATTAAGAGTTTATGTAAAATATCTTTGTGCATAAACGGGTTATTTGATTGGATAGATATAAATCAATTCGAATATATTATCGCAAGAAAAACATTACATTACATTTAAATAACAAACAACCGAATTCGTACTTGAGAATTCTAAAAGCATTCTATATACTATTTTTGATAATTTATTAATATTTCGATACTATGAAAAAGGTAATATTTTAATTATTATTATATTATGTTACTTCACTGTAATTAAATCTATTATTTACTGAAGAACAAGATAACATTAATTAGTGTGTAGTTTAAGCTTTTTAAATAATTTATTAGATCTTTTTTTATTATTAGATTCATAAGATCCTACCGTATAAAATCTGAATTTCCCTTTTCTCAGAAGCATTAAAATTAATAATAAATTCAAAGGAGCAACATTTAGCAATACCAATACCGAAATTTTAATAATTAGCTTTGTGCACTTGTGAGTTTCTTAAGCTTTTGAGTGTTTGTTAATTTTTTAAATTGCAACTGTTAGTATATTCACATGTGTGAGAGCCACTTCCGATTTGCATTGATCGTTTGAAAAATTGGGAAAGTGCTTTTCGTCTAGTGACCTCGTTTGCGAGAAAAAAAAACAAGCGCAAACACATTTGCAAATGATCATTGCAACTGCAATCGGAATTGCAATCGCAATTACTGCCAGCCAGCCAGGCAGCAGCGTCCAGAGCAAGCTATTTATCTCCGAGGGGAAACAGGAAGGAAATTGCATTTTAGCAGCGACAACAAATTGCTATTTGAGGGTTACACACTTGACAACCCAGAGACGCTGATCAATCAATTGCAGGTCAGTTCCGCCTTCCAATAGATCGATATTGCACGGAAGGGAGCGATTAATTGGGTAAATTTTTTCAGAAAATTAAAGACAAATCCCAAGAGGTAATGATACTTTAATATTGTTTAAACTTACAAGAACTTAACATTTCTTAACTTATTGAAATGGGTTCATATCAAGGTCATCTACTTTTGTTTCTATTCCAAAGTATGTCTGTGATTTATTAATTGATTTTCTGTGCGGCAAAATGTTGTTTAAAATATAGTTTGACCTTTCTATAATTATCACGATCAACTAAAAGCATCTAAGGATTTCTTTTTTCAAGGTTTTTCAATACAGTTTACCTCCATATTTTTAAACAATTGCTTAAAGTATATAATTTAATTTTTTTAAATTAGGTAACCTAAAGCAATTGCATTTTTCATTTTGTGTTCTAAGACTTCCTTATATCCTCTACGAAAACAAAACTGACATTTGTATCAAACTGAAGCTTGTTATCAAAAAACCATCGCAATGTCAACTTATATTCGCCTGTTGGCATCGGAAGAACTAATAACTCGGGCCTTAGATAGAATCCTTTTATAATTTGCGGGCCCTGAAAAACAATTTAGCCGATATATTATATTTATATAGTACACTATGAAGGCTTACCAACAGGGGACAAGTGCTGTTAAAATTTGTAAATTCCTTAAAAAGATTGAAGACTAGCTTCGCAAATGGGTTATAATTCTTTCGCAAGAAGCGGCATATATCAACATCACCTTTTAGGATCCAAGGCTTGAAGCCATTTGCCTTTTTAAGTATTTCATAATGGACATGAACATTGTTGACAGTTTGTACAATTGTTCCGTTAAAATTCATTGTCACCCTGTCCCGGCTTACGGCCTTTAGCCTACAGGTATTTAATATTAACCAGGACTTGTTATAGCTCGCACAGACTAGGTTTGTAAATCTGAAAATGACAGCGCCCTAAGAATTGATTTAGAAATAGTTTTAGAAATCTATTTTATTCTCGACTTACATTAAGATGTATAATAAACACTCCCAGAAGAACAAATTTGAAAATAAACCTCATATTGTGGATGATGAAATACAACTAATTTTTTAATTCAGAGAAAGCCTGAAAGCGGAAACTAAAATTATGAAATGAAATATATTAAATATTATATATGTATATCAATCATTAATTACATTTTAATAGTTTTATTATCTAAAGGCAAGATTAATCAATATAATAGTTTTACTCGGTTGATGATTTTAATTGGTTAAAATAATTACTTATTAGTATAGGAATATTCTAGATATACATATATCAATAAATAACATTTAAAAATAATTACTTATTTCTGCCTGAAATGGATCCCTCTGATCCGTCTGTTTACGCTGCTCATTTGGCGAGGGAATCCTCATTGCATTGGCTGTTATCGCATCGGCAATTTGCATGTCAAGTGCAAGTTCAAGTGCAATATTGCATGAAATCAACCGCACGGGCTGCGTCATTCTCTCGACTTTTGCTTGTTATGCATTGTTGTGTTATTATATCATCATGCAAAAGAAAAAAATGTGCATTATGGCAAGTATAATCCTTTTAAAGAGGGGGGCCTCCTCAGTGTGAGAAATCTAGCCGTTGCATCAGCTGCCGCCTCACTACGTTTTCGTGCTGGTTCGTTTTGGAAATGTTTACCCAGACTGATAAAATTATACAAGAAAGGAGAACCAGAACAAACGTTTGCAATCCAATTACAAGGTGCTGCTGCTGCCGCTGCTGTTGCTGCCACTCACACGGCGGCCACATGGCGTATACTTGACATAAGGTCAACTGGCCATCAAACGCTCATTAATTTGCCAATTGACGACAAGCATTTCATTCCATACCATTTCGCAGTGTTCCCCCTACAATTTGATTTGCCAACAAGTAAATTATGTTGCTTTGCCGAAAAGAAGAAAAAAATACATATATTTAAGATAAATGAATAGCGAAAAAAGACAGAGATCTTGCAACCTTGCGGTGAGAGACACACTGGCACACAACAATAAGAAATCAAGAGTTTTTATTGTTTATGGACTGGTAGCTCGGCAACAAATACACCAAATAACGAACAACAAACCGCAAATGGCAAATGATTTATTTAATACAAATCAAAATTATGATTTGATTTTTTTCGGCAGCCTCCAAGAGCCCAGAGAGGCGTGTCCCGTTCCGCCAAGATCGATTAATCCAACTTGTTTGATTGTTGGTCTAAAGCTGAAAATAATCCAGGAAGTGGCTACACTTGAGGTAGGTCACAGAAACAAAAAAAGGGAGGCTGCTTGGCCAAATTGCCACTAAAAGCCAATTTTTAAGCCTTATGCTCGCTGCATTGTTGCTTGCCGGCTTTTGTTCATTTGTTATTTAACGTTTATTTGCTTTTTGCACTTTTTTCTCTGAACAGAAATTCAGGGCCATCGGTATATAGGTAAAGCTATGGTCGATCTGCTTGTGATCGGCGCACATTAGCAATTGTTGTTAGCTGAAGTTTGTCCTTCTGTTGACATTTTGCACGCGTCGCTATGCTGTTGAGCCTACGCAAAAATTTCTGCTTCGCCCCAGAGAGTTTTTCGAGTGGGAAGACGACGGAGAGCTGTCAGCACCGATCAGTCGAGATATATGCTCCAAACGGAGTATTTTTGAGGGCTTTCCTCATTTTATTTTACTCGCCCATAATTGCATTTTGAATAAATATTCCGGAATTTTTTTTTTTTTTGGTGATTTTAATCACGTTGCCAGGAATCAGTTTTCCAGCTCATTAGTTTGCATGACTGACAATCGGCAATCAGTTTCCTCCCCCCACGGTTCGATGAGGCAGCTATTTTATGCCTTAACTTTAATTCCTTGTATTATGCGGTTGTTGATGAGTTATGAGTGCATATCCTTTGTGTCCGGCTAAACGGATTTATGACTGCCAAATTGTATGGCCAGAAAAGTGGGTCATGAGAATCAACACTCACACAAACCCTGGCTTCAGCTGGATATTACATAATTCAGAACCTTTTATCGGGATGCAGAGACCAGACAGGAAAACAGGTTCAATGCAAGGGCAGTGCAACCTTCGGTTAACTTTTTTACAGAGGGAAAAACGAGAAAAACAATACTTGTTTTAGTTCGATATTATCATTTTTATATACATATTTTATCATATATAATTATATTACTACAAAATCAAGGGATAATTGAACAAGATTTTTTGAACTATCACATAAGACTTCCATATAAGTTTTTCTTAGTAACCCTTATGCTACGAAATAAAATATAATTAAGCTTTAAGTTAGAAATTTGTATTCATTTTACTTCCCTTTTTTCTCTCTCTGTTGTTCCAATCACCACCTGCATCTCCTGCCGGTGGCATCCACTTGAGAGCGGTGCCCGGATAACCAGTTCCACGTCAAGTGCCTGCCACGAAACGAGCCCAGGTTTCGGCACTTCATTAAGGAAGCGACCTTGGCAGAGGCTGATGCCAGCACAATTTATTTGTTGGTGCAGGCAGGAAGACATCGTCGCCGCCGGCGACTGGCCCCGCGATTCTGATGTCCATGGCGATGGTGATGGTGATGGAGATGCAACAGGTTGGAGACCGCTCTGTTGACCTCCAGGATTGGCGTTACATATAGCATATTTTTGTTTTTTTTTTTTTTGTATACAGCAGCACTCTTTTAATTAAGCCGCCGCCGCCGCATTCGAAATGTAAATCGCAAAGTGCATATGCCTCCTTTCTCGAGCGACAGAATTGGGTTACAAATGTCTTGCGAACCGGAGAACAAGCACGTGCACTTGAAGAAAATAAATACATTTTAATTAAAAAAGTACTTTTTATTAAATTTTAATGTTTTATTTCATTTTAAATAAGACTCCAATCATTCTTTGAAACCATTATCTTGATGCGGCGATCTGCAAGGCAAATGTTGCTGGGAACATGTTGAGCAACATGCATCAGGGGCTAAAACATATATGTAGATATTGCACGGATAAAGCCTGTAACTCTGGTTCGAAATCACAAAAAGATATGGCTAAATCGTCGTCTCTAATGATTTTACAAAAGAAAGAAGAATACAGTCGTATTTTACGACTATGTAAGTATAATCCGGATCTTTGTTTATTATTCAATTGATATTATTAAATTCCCATTTTAAAAGCTTAAACTGGGCAACAAATTGTAGGTGACACACACTATTATTTTTATTATTTTTTTTTCTGTGTGGTGGGGCTGGGCCTCGCACTTTTCGCATAAAAAAAATCCGCAATCCACAATCCGCCCGAATTGTGCAATTAAAATCGCAAGCGTTTTGCGAACTGTGGGTCTCTGGTTTTATTTTGTAAACTTTTTGTTTGACTTTATACCCTGCAGAGTAATTTAATTTTAGTAAGAAGTTTGCAACGCAGTGATGCAGCCATTTCCGACTATATAAAGAATATATATTCTTGATCAGCATCAGCAGACGTCCGTTTCTGCGAAAACTAGACTCAGTCTTAAAGCTATCTAAGCCAAACTTTGCAGTAAGCCATCTTTGGCTCTCTTTTACTCTCTGTCTCTCTTTCCCTTTCTCTATTTTCCGGTATGTACATCTCTCTTTGGGTATCTCTAGAGAAACCTCTGCTGTCGCTACGAATCGCTCTTTCTCTCTCGCTCTCACTTTCTCTGTTCTCTTTGGTCGAGGACTATAAATAGAGGCGCTGCCTGCTCGCTGCCATCATTCTGTCCGAGGTGAGGCTGTTGTTAACATCGTCGTGATAAGTGATAGTGGTAGTGATAGTGATTACCAGACTAATGCAATACATCTGGATAACCAGGAAGAAGCTCACCTCGATGAGTCATCAAGAATGTAACTCTACGCTGGAAGAATTAAAGGAATGATGAATAAGGTAAGCCGTGTCCCTCTAATGCGGTAAGTCTTAACCATGAAAATAATATAATTTTTATAGATGCTAGGCCTAGCTCTAGGAATCAGTATTGGGGCAACGCCTGTCTACGTGCGGGTTCCCGGAGTTAGAGTTTTATGACTTGATGTGCAGAATTACAGAATCTATCTAGAATATTCAATACTCATGAGTATTTTAAACAATTAAAATCTTCAACCATGTAAAACCATTATATTGATTAATTTACCATATAGATAACAATAACTATTAAAATGTAATTAATGATCGATATACATATATAATATTTAATATATTTCATTTCATAATTTTAGCTTCCGCTTTCAGGCTTTCTCTGAATCAAAAAATTAGTTGTATTTCATCACCCACAACATGAGGTTTATTTTTATATCTGTTCTTCTTGGAGCTTTTATTATATATTTTAATGTTAGTCGAAAATAAAAACAGATTTCCAAGACCAATTTCAAAATCAATTCTTAGGACGCTGTCGTTTTCAAATTAACAAACCTAGTCTGTGCGAGCTATAACAAGTCCTGGGTAATATTTAATACCTGTAGGCTAAAGGCCGTAAGCCGGGACAGGGTGACAATGAATGTGAACGGAACATTTTTACAAAAAGTCAAGAATTTTGAACTCCATTATGAGATATTTAAAAAGGCAAATGGATTTAAGCCTTGGGTCATAAAAGGCGAACTTGATGTATGCCGCTTCTTGCGAAAGAACTATAACCCAGTTGCGAAATTGGTCTTCGGTCTTTTTAAGGAATTTACAAATTTTAGCAGCACATGTCCTCTGTCGGTAAGCCTTCATAGTGATATATAAAAATATAAAATATCGCTTCAATTGTCTTCCAGGGCCCGCAAATTATAAAAGGATTTTATCTAAGGCCCGAGTTATTAGTTCCTTCGTTTCCAACAGGCGAATACAAGTTGGCATTACGATGGTTGTGTGATCACAAACTTCAGTATGACACAAATGTCAGTTTTATTTTCGTAGAGGATATTAATAAGTCTTAAAACATTAAAGAAAATGCAATTGCTCTAGCAATTGTTTAACAATTTACGAATTATTACTACTATCGAGTATATTGTAAATTATGTTTTTGTAATGATAAACTTAATTAAAAGCAATCTTGAATTTAATCTGAATCTACGCTTAAGGAATTATGGAATGGCTACGGTAAGTCCATGACCATTATATCATTTTTATAGATGCTATCTGAGGGATCAGGCCTAGAGATCTCGGAATCAGCCAACAATCAGCTTTCCAATTTGAAATTAATGCATCTTTGACGTATGATCGATTTCACATTCGAACCTAAGGGTATACACACTTCGCCTCGCAAAGTTAACTTCCTTTCTAGTTTTTTATTTTTATATTTTTTTTCTTGTGCGTGCAACGCATTGGGGCAACGCCTGTCTCCGTGTGGGTTGGTCTCCGGGTCCCCGGTTTTTGGGTCTTTGGTATGTGCAAAATGTAATGGCCATAATAATGAAAAGACCGACATAACGTTTATGGCCTGCAAGTTTGTTTCCAGCCAATTGAGTTGAAGAAAAATAACATAAACTTTAATCCGAAAGGGAGCTGAGATCGTAGAATTATTCTAGCAATTTGCAGCATGCAAGTTACCGTTGTGGAATATGCCATAAATTTCCAACAACAGCTCAATTAATTGTCCGGGGAGCCATTTAAATTCCCACAGCAAAAACGGAAGTGTATTTACCTGAAAGTGTTGGCTAAAAATCAATCGATCGTTGATAACTTAATGCTGGTTATGAACTGCTCATAAGTACGAATAATTGGGAGTTTAGCAGCCATATCTTTCGGCTATCATAAACTCCGAATCGAGCTCGCACTCCGGTTGCGTGACTCAGACAGAAAATGCAATTTCCAGAGATCAATCTGCATGCTCAGGCTTAGAATACAAATGAAAAGATATAGTATATATGAGTATGAGTATGAAGTATGTGTGACGGCCTTCAGAAAATGGCAAACAAACGCGACATTAAATTATGCGCCTAGGCCTATTATTTTATGCAATTGATAAATTGACAACGACCGAGGTCCGCTCACTTTTGTGTGTTTTTTTTATATTTTTTTCCAGTGAAAATCCGCTCACATGCGTGCCGAGTTTCTTGCCCCGCCTACCAGGTGCCCAGATATCCATATACCACATATACCATATATATATATATATATGTATGGAAACCAAATAGCATATAGCATCGGCAACTTTCATATCGAGTTGAACTTTTGGTTGTTTGTCATTCATTTTCAATGTCAAGGTCGTGGCGATCGCTGAAATGCATTTATTGACTTTCAATTAGCTGCAGTCGCACGGCGCATCCTTGTCTAAATTAAGTTGCCTCTGCTGCATTCGCTTAGGCAAATTAGCTGATAATTATGTTGCTTTGTGTTGGCGGTGAAATTCAGCCACTCGGGATAGCTAGAAACGAAAAACACACACAATTTCGAAGGCAACGCACTTGTCGATCTATCTATAAATGCATATATGTATATATCTTTGAATTTGACAAATTGCCTGCGATATTCAAATTTGTCTCTGCAAAGAATGGGATACAGAGTTTCTGCCAAGGCTGTGCCAGTTAGGCATAAATCATTTAACCCCAAGGCATGCTGGACATATTGAACATGTTAAAAGGCGTTTTCCTTTTATATATGTTATATATTTCGTTGTTATCGTCCATTTGAGATCGTGTTAGTCATATTACTGGGGCTAGAATCTAGGTCTTACCACTTCCTTGGGGAATTGCTGGAATCTCTCAAATGCTGAGAGTGATTCACTTGCCTTAGAACGTGTAAAGTTTGCCTCGATTTGGTCACGCCAACAGCATCATCATCATCATCATTATCATCGTCGTCGTCAGTCGAATGGCCTCAGATGTCGCAAGCTTTTTGGCGTGATTTCGAGTCGTCAACCTTGGCCTTAGAACAGGCGGCTACAATCGCTTGTTACAACCGCCTAATATATATATGTTTGTAGCTGCATGCGCATGCAACAATCGGCTAACGGCAGTTAAGCTATAGTCTCGACTCCACACAGCTGACATTGTGCGAGGCTAAAAATAAACCTATAGCTATGTATAATACAGCCACCGTTAGGCCCGTCCCCGTCTGGGGCGTCGGTTAGATTAATTGCACATTGATTAGAGGCACAACAATTGCAATGTCGAGAGCGAGCGGAAATAAACTCAATCCGAGAGATACGATGCGGCTGAAAACGCGTCCGAGTCGCGTGCAAATCGCATGCAAAACGCCTGAAAATTGCTCTCTTGCAGGCGGAAGCATAAGCCGCAGATACATTTCATAGATACAAAGCGATTTTGGATTTTTACTTGTTTTACTTTTATTTTTTGAGGACCAGCTTTGTAGTTTTTTTTTTTTTTTGTTTGGAGGGGGGGGGAGTGAGTTCAATAAATACTTACGGGCTAGGCAAACATTTGTGTAACACAATCTTTAGTTAGCAACTAATACAACTTATCAAACAGGAGGCGGTGGCGGTGGCGTGGGCTTCGGTGTAGGCGGGGGCGTGGCAGTGGCAGTGGCCCGCCTGCTAGGCACACGAGCAGCAGCCGCCGCCATAGGAATAAATACTACAACTTTAGCTGTCGCTTCTCCAGCTTGCGCTCCCGCTGCAGCAGAAACTCGCGCCGCAGCTCGCTCGATCGCATCTCCAGGATGCAGTTAAGCTTGTTGTGAATCTGGTCCGCCGTGTGGGTGTCCGTGTCGAAGTCGTAGTGCTTAAAGCGAATATTGCTGCTCGAGAAGAAGCCGGACGTGTGGCCAAGACTGCTCGGCCATTGGGTGGTGCCGGCGCTGGAAGAGCCCATGTTTAGTGTGGTCACGCTGGCATTGATCGGCGCCGAAGTGCAGCCGGTGGTAAAGGAAGGCGACGAGGAGTTGGACTTTAGCCAGATGCGTAATAAAGCCTTTAGTTGACGACGCTCCACAATCTCGCAGTGGGCCACCAGATCTATGGATGTGGAAACGGGCTTCTTTTGCGGCCAGAACTTGGCATTCTTATACTGATCGATCTCTATTCTCTCTCCGGAGATGCCCAGGACCACGTCGGATTTGAAGAAGCGCTTGTCGATGATGTTTAGCCGGAAAGTGCGATGCATTGGAGCCTCCAACATGTCGTTGTGGTTCAGCAAGCGTTTCTCGTACTCTTTTACATTGTCGTTCGGGCTGTCGTCTCCTGATCCCGCTCCTGCTGTGGCCCCTCTTCCCTCTCCGGCTGCTCCTCCGCCTGCACCTCCCGGATCGGTTGTCCCGCCATTCAGGTTGATATTCTTAAGAGCCTTTACCGCCGCCTCGGCCAACGCTGCTTTGTCCTCCTCGGAAGTCATGGATTTGGTGCCCAGCTGACCGTGGTAGTCCACTCTCGTCACCGGAGCCAGTGGACGACGTTCCGCCAGCGTGAGGTGAGAGAAGCCGAACTTGGAGCAGGGCTCGCGATTGTCCAACGGAGGGAAATCCTCCATGTCGTCGTTGTCCTCTGTCATATACAAGGCGTAGTGCTGCAGGGACTTTAAAGGAACATCCGGGTAATGGAGGGAGGTCTTGTAGCAGACGAAACCAATCACCTCCTGTATTTTGGCAGTGGCTAGGACGCAGATCTTTAGCGGATAGTTGCGATCCGGCTCGGGAAGCATGTTCAGAAACACGTTGATCCTCTTTGTTTGCATGCCAACCTGCGAGGTGCCGTCGAAGCGGGCGAAGTCGATGAAGCGGTTCTGCGTCTGCTTGGGACTCTTGGCCAGCTGCTCGGTGAGCTGGCTCTGGATGCCGCCGTCAAACAGCTCGTCACCATTGCTCCTGGCTGGCTTTTTAGCAGACTGTGTCTGTGGGGCTAATGGCACCTCCTTGCGCTTGAAGAAGTCGTCGTTTTCGGGCGGCTGCACCTGTTCCTGGTAGTTTATACTTTTGATCCGCGCCGCCTTGCGCTTGGCAATGTCCAGCTTCTCTAGCTTTTGGGCAGTGTTGGAGCGAAAGCGATGGGCGCCCACTTCGGGGTACATCTGGATGTCGAAGGAGTGCGTGGACTGGTCCTCCTCGTCGTCGCTGAGGTCCAGGCCCGGGTAGCATACAAAGTCCACGTCCTGGAACGGTGTGTCCGCCTGCCGGATATTTCGCTGTTCAAAAGTCGTTGTTGCGGGTTCGCCATCGCCGGGCGATGGCTTCTGTGGCCGCCTGTGGCCGTGATCCCCAGCTCCGGAATTCCCGTATTTGCGTAAAAAGTGCTTTGGCATGTCGTCGCTCAGCATCACAGTCTCGCACATGCCAGTGTCGTCCGTGGAGATGAACGAGTTCCGGATGTGGGAGAGCAGCCAGTGCTGGTTGGAGTAGGTGGCCATGGCGGTAAACAAACGAACTTTTCCGAAATTATTTCTATTTTATTTATTTTTATTGTTACTAGAAGGCGATACATCGATGTTTATTTAGATGAGCGGATTTAGCCTTCCTCGGCAGCTGGTCACACTTAAATCGATAACAAATCGAACATGAACTTGAAGTTGCCACACTGCAAAACGGGAATTCATGGTTTGCTTTCAGTCCAGCACATAAATCTTGGATAAAAAGACCTGGCCACAGAAAATCTATGGAAGACTGCAAAACATCTATGTAAATCTCCCTACGCCCCGACATGTTTTCCAACACTTATTTCTAATTGGATTTGATTTTGAAAATATAAAATACATACAGGGAGTTTTCAATTTGAATAATGCAGATCCTATACTAGCATTTAACATAAAGCTCTTATTTCACTGAAGTTAAAAACAAAATCACAAGGAAGAATTTGTAGTTAATTTTGTATTAATCATTTACTTTTAAATCTGGTTCCCAACTGTCTTTATTTGTGTTATTTTCTTATTCTCTGGTATATTTGAGGTGTTTTCCCTCTTAGTGTCTGGGCACTCTAGGCCACCATATGACTTTTTCTAGACGCGAAAAATTACAGAATTACAGAATTAGTTAATCAAAGTGAGTTTTTGGTCTAGAAAAGCAATTGCCCAATGAACCCATTGTAGGGAATGAACCCATTGTAGGATCGCATCGATGTGGTAGCCAGCATGGCGGGCATGGAGGTAGAATTCGATGAGGCCGTGGCCAATCAGTTCAGCTGCAAGCGCTGCGACCGCGTAAGTCTGTGCCGACGGTCCACTTTGTGCCCCGATTAACCCGGTAATCCTCCCTTGCAGACCTTCAAGAGTAAGCGGGACCAGACGCTACATCGGCAGGAGGTGCACAACCACAACAAGACCACCTACGAGTGCAAGCTGTGTGCCAAGAGCTTCTGCAACTCGGGCAACCTCGATCGTCACATGAAGGTGCACAACGATGTCCGGCCTTTCGTGTGTAATATCTGTTCTAAGGCCTTTGCCCAGGCGGTGAACCTGCAGCGTCACTATGCCGTCCACAGTGGCGAGCGACCGTTCACCTGTAACTTCTGCAACAAGTCCTTCACGCAGCAGAGCAACATGAAGCGCCACAAGATGACACACACCGGCGAGAAGCCGTTCCGGTGCCAGCGCTGCGGCAGGTACTTCTCCCAGCTGGTCAACCTCAAGAAGCACAAGCTGGGCCACCTCAATGCCAAGCCCTACCAGTGCAATTACTGCGAAAAGGGCTTCACCCAGCTGTCCAACTTTAAGCGCCACCTGCAGTCGCACATCAAGGAGGGCGTCGATGTGGATGTGGCCGCCTCTATCCAAGCGGCGGCTGCCCTGGCCAGGGAGCGGCTTGAGGCGGAGCAAAAACCGTGAGTATTTGTTGCTGGTCCTTGACATTGGCAAAGATAAATCAGTTCCTCTTGGGAGACCTACCTCAAGCTGATAGTGTCCCTGCATAAACCAAAAACAAAGTTTAAATCCATTAAATAATCTAATTTTCTGCTTTACAGAAGCTTTTTCGAGTGTATGGTGTGTCGGGCCATCTTCGATACGTTCGCCGACTACGAGAAGCACGAGAGCAAGTGCCATGAGGACCACGAACGGGCCCAACTAGAGGTGAACCAGATGGCTCACATGCATCCCGACGACTATTTGCCCATGAAGTTTGCCGTGCCCGATCTGGACACGCACGAGATCATAATTGAGACTACACACTAGAGATCGCGATAATGCTTGGCACGAAACCAGCAACACATAAACACTTAAACCAACTCACACCTAAACATACAAATAGTGGCGACTGCGCCTGGAAGATAGATTGTGAAGAATATTGCATTGATTATACATATACTATACCGTATGCAGGCCAACTTAGTTCTCCATTGAAATACAACAATAAATGCAAGAAATATACAGAATATAAACGAGTGAATCGCTCGATAAGCTCGACCTGTCGCTAATCAACCAGATCTCTGTTTACATTCACAATTTTGCGTTTGAGTCGTAAAAATAAGGCTAACTCGGTGATTTTACGTGCCCCGAAGACACTTTAACTGCTGTGAACCCTTTATGTGCGATTTAATGGTTATATGTCTGATTTCTGGTGTATGCGTAGTCCCTGTCAGTTATAGCTTGTGTGCGTATGCCGCAAGAACCTGTCGGTGCGTAAATTGTCACTTTAATGGCACATTCGTCGAAGCAGCAGGAGTAGCCGTAAAAATAACCTTTCCGGCTTGTCTGGCATACATTCTTGCGTCATTAATGGACCAAATATGTTTGTTAAGCTGTCAGAGGAGTGACTCTTGCTCGCTCAAAGGTCAAGGTATGTATGAAGGAGTTCCGTTTCCCGAACAGTGGCGTAATTTATACATGTGTCCAACTGATTTATCCTGTGTGTGACTCCGGTATGGCGGTCTCTCAGCATTATTTGATTGAAACTAATTAATGGCACGTTCCCTGGCTTGTTTACATGCCAGCAGCCGTCATGGAGAAATAATTGATCGGTGGAGCCCTTGTTATCGGGATGTGTCCTTGCGGTTTTGCCTCCAGTCGTTGGTTTTTGCTGCTGCTGCAGCGGCACTAAATCAAACTATTTATACATCTTCCCATTACGGACTTCCCGTTCCGCTCTCTCGAGGAAATAATGATTCATGCTCATGCCCGTCGTCGTCCTGCCACATCCTTTTGCCCTTTTACTCGTATGCTTGTGTGTACGTTCAATTGGCATTCAGTTGCTTAAATGGTCAGTGCCTGTGGCCTAGCCTCGGACTAATAGGTCCCCATTTATTTGGCTGCCCAGTGTCATTTGTTATAAATTTATTGTGGTAACTGCCCTTGCCTTGATCTCAGCTCATAAGTTTGGACGGAAAATAAATATTAAAGGGAATTGCATTATCTGAACAAATCTTTCCTAAATTTAAGGAAAACTAATCGTTTTGATTAATAAAATTATTGAGAATTTAAATTTACGATGAAAAGGAAAGAAGCAATATTTTAAAGATGTTATTGTATTTTACTTGCAGCGATTTATATTGTTTTAAATGATAGCTCTATATGGCCTAAACTCCTCCTAACATATCGATATACCTTACCTTATAGCTTTATGAGACTTCCTATACTTACTATACTACTATTTTTTGTAAGTAAAACTATAAATCACATCAATATTCAAGATACCAAACTCAATGAATTAAAATCCGCTTACGCTGCAAAAATTCCCCTGTGTAAAAGTTATTGAATGTTATAGTGACTGTATCAATGTTTCTGTTCCATTGCTTAAAAGCCAGCTGCAGATTTTCTGTGTGTTTTTAAATGAAATCAATAAATGGGGCTTGGATACCATCCCACTTGGCCCACCTTTGCCAAAAAATTGTATGTACTTTTCGTTTGTGTTTGTCGAAGTGCGATTTTTTATACAGACCAAATATTTGCACACCGAGATTGTGTGGCAATAACGGTTCGTTTCCCCTTTTCCGTCTTCATTGGCCATTGTTTGCTCAGCGTAGTGCACAGCATGCAAATAATAACACTGCCCGCCCGAATGCACAAACATTTAGAGGGGCCTGCCCTGATTGTGTTCGAGGCTGGGGTAATGAGTTTCCCTTTTATTTAGCCAAACAACAGTGGAGTTGACAAAGGCAAACCAATCCAAACAAAACGGCAGCATCATCGGTTTTGCACAGGCAGAGTTGAGTCATTAAGCCAAGCGCCTGGGGTTAGGCAACATCTTTTTTCCGGTGAATCCCTATACCTATGTATATGTCGTTGAAAAATTGGAAACTGAAAACTGTTGCCGCCACTTTAAGAGCCAATTTCCATTTGTGATATTTCTGCAAGGCTAAGACCTCCCGCATGTCCTAAATTGATTTGGCAAATGTTCCAGAGCCAGAGCCGGGGCAGGCGTCATCATCATTATCATTATCAGCTCTGGGTTTTTGGCTGCTTGTCGTTTCTGGCTTACAAGTACAAGCCGCAGAATGTTAGCCAAGTCAACGCCAGTAGCTGGTAAAAGCCACAGAGAAAGATGGCGAACAAGGCAGCACCATTGCTTTTCATGTTGCTCCTGTGCTTCTGCTGCTGATGATGCTTCTGCGGTGCGTCGCTGCTACTAGTCCTAGTGCCTACACAGAAGCAAAATAATGAAAATTTCAAATGAAAATTGAATTGTCTCCTTGTATACCCTTGCAGTGAAGGAGTCATTTCCGACCCTATAAACCATATATATTCTTGATCAGCATCGACAGCCGAATCGTTCTGACTTGCTAGCTGGAAAAATAATTGGTAGTTAATTTTTCAAAATTTTATAAGGGGCTACATCGTTAAAATTGTCAAAAAATTCTACAAAAACCTAAAAGATTTTTAAATTTAAATTTGAATGTGCGGATTTGTTAACCTAGTAAAAACTAACACAGAACTACGTTCCGAATCGAAATTGATGCATTTTTGGTTTAGTTGTGATCGATTGGAATTCGTCTCCCGATGCAATTGTAAACTGCAAGGGTATATAATGGTCGGCTTCCCTATGTTGTCTTCCGTATTTGATATTTTTACATTTTAGTTACATTTTTCATGAGACAAATGGTTGTTTAATAGTAACTGACATCATTTTTACTATGAGGTGCTGACTTTTGACTCTTCTGTTGTGGTTTGTAAAGCCAAACGTTCCTGAAAGACATCTTAAGCAGTTGCTCTTCTGGGTTGTCAGATATTTTACGTATAATTTTTAATTTATACCATATATCTTATACACAATTCCATCCTTTTAACAAATGTTTAAGTCTGTATTTCTGCCAGTGCACTGTTGGTCGTGTTCCTGGCTTCGCTGGCCGCACATTATGGCCACCAAGTGGCTGGCTGACGGGAATGTCAGCGGCAGGAGCCGGAGAATCGCATACGTGTTGCTGGCGGAAAGGCAACTGCAGCCGCGTAATTGAGTTTTACATGTTCAGCGAGGCTGCCAATTGGGTTTACACCCGCTTTCTCTGGTTGCACTTGGGTTACTTTGGTTACGGGTTACGGCTTTACGGGTTACTGGTTACGGGTTACTGGTTATTGGTCACTGTTTTCTGGTTACTGTTTACTGGTCCCC